CAGATATATTAAATTATGTCAGAATATCATCAGCAAAATCCAGATTGTGAGAAATTCTACTAGGGAAACAATGTAATTTCTTCATCAAATAATTGTTTAGAAATGAAGAAATGGAGTGAGAACCTATAGATTGAAATAGACTTAAGTGTCAAATCTACCAATTATAATGTGTGGAACTTATTTTAATTCTGATTTGAACAAACTGTAAAAAAACAACTCTTATGAGACACCAGAAATTTGAAAGCTACTGAATTATTTTAAAAATTTCCCATTGATTTTTTAAAGAGAGTGGAAGGGAGGAAGGGAGGGGGAGAGACAGAGAGAAATATCAATGGTAAAGAGACACCAATTGGCCATTTCCCCCACACACCCCAACTGGAAATCGAACTCTTGACCCTTCATCTTCTAATAAGTTTACATGTAAATAACAGATGTATTTCACACTTTTAAAAGACTTTAACATTGTTTATTTATCAGTTTCCCCTCTGTACATACATTCACAAGCTCCAACACTCCCCTTGGGTAGAAGAATGTTAAAAATCTGGTATAGCCGAAACCGGTTTGGCTCAGTGGATAGAGCGTCGGCCTTCGGACTGAGGGGTCCCAGGTTCGATTCCCGTCAAGGGCATGTACCTGGGCTGCGGGCACATCCCCAGTGGGAGATGTGCAGGAGGCGGCTGGTCGATGTTTCTCTCCCATCGATGTTTCTAACTCTCTATCTCTCTCCCTTCCTCTCTGTAAAAAATCAATAAAATGTATTTTAAAAAAAGAAAAAAAAAAAATCTGGTATACACATCTCACATCTTTCTCCATGTTCATACAATTATATATATACAGTTGGCTTCGATTCCTATTTTTAAAAATATAAATTTTACTATAAATAAATATTTATAAGAAATATATTTTAAAAGTACACAATTGTGTAAATACATGAATTAATTTTAAATCCTTTTGCAAACTCATCTCTCCATCTTTCCTCCTTCCCAAAGATACCACATTTCTGAGTTTTATTTACCATACCTTTGCTTTTCATTATGTAACACTTATACACAAAATATCATTTTGCATCTGTAAAATTTTATGAATGGAATCATACTGCATGTATATTTCTATGACTCTTTGCTCATTATATTTGTTAGATTCAGTAATTTTTACTGCTGTGTGTTATTCCACTATATAGGTATGCCACACTATTTATCCACCCTGCCTTTTTTTTAAATATATTTTATTGATTTTTTACAGGGAGGAGGGGAGAGGGATAGAGAGTTAGAAACATCAATCAGCTGCCTCCTGCACACTCCCCACTGGGGATGTGACCGCAACCAAGGTACATGCCCTTGACTGGAATCGAACCCGGGACCCTTCAGTCCGTAGGCCCACGCTCTATCCACTGAGCCAAACCGGTCAGGGCTCCACCCTACCTTTGATGGGCATGTTTCATTTCCAGATTTCTTTGTTACTGCAATGATGTTAAGTGAAAGCAATGTCATTGAATTTGATGACAAAGTGTTTTAATGAAGTTTAGCTCTGATGAAGCCAGTTGGGGTGAAGCTAGAGACTTCTGGAGGAGAAACAAAAAAGGTCAGAAAAAAAAATCCCATTTACCCCCCATAAACATTTAGGACTTTCTTCTGAAATTGTAATAGAAGAAAAAAGGAACTTTATCTTCTTCCCTAATACTGCATCCACGAACCGTACTCTATTTTCATCTGCCATTTCAAGTCAGAAAAATAGTTAAAAGAAACTACAGATTTTAGTTTCAAAACTACCAACTGCAACAAAGAATTCAGATCCCACCTAGGAAATGGAAGCTTGGTTTTGTATACTTAGAATATAAGAAGTGCAATGATCACTTTTGGAAATAAGACAAGTAGTTTTCCAATAGACTGACTATGTAATCTCAAACACGTTCCTTGCCTTGCCTAACCTGTAACCTAGGACATCTGATTCCCTAATTCTGGGATCTGATCTAATCTACCTGCCTCTACATGTGGGAACTTAAACTAGGGCTTCCCAAGTTATCTGCACTAGTCCCCTTAACATCACAGAAGAGTGGGAGCCTGTCTCAGGCTGGATTTCTTTTTAAAATATATTTTTATTGATTTCAGAGAGGAAGGGAGAAAGAGAGAGAGAGAGAGAGAGAGAAGCAATGATGAGAGAAAATCATTTATCCGCTGCCTCCTGGACGCCTCCTACTGGGTATGTGCCCTTGATCGGCTGCCTCCTGCACGACCCCTACTGGGTATGTGCCCTTGACGGGAATGGAACCTGGGACCCTTTAGTCCGCAGACCAACACTCTAGCCACTGAGCCAAACTGGCTAGGGCTCTTTTTCATTCTTTCTTTTTTTTAAATTTAAATTCCTTTTTGTTTAAAGTATTACATATGTCTCCTTTCCCCCCCACTGACCTCTCCCCAGCCGGTCCCACTCGCCTTTTTTTTTTTTTTTTCTTTTTAAAAGTTATGCTGATGCCCTAACCGGTTTGGCTCAGTGGATAGAGCGTCGGCCAGTGGACTGAAGGGTCCCAGGTTTGATTCCAGTCAAGGGCATGTACCTTGGCTGCAGGCACATCCCCAGTAGGGGGTGTGCAGGAGGCAGCTGATCAATGTTTCTCTCTTATCGATGTTTCTCTCTATCCCTCTCCCTTCTCTGTAAAAAAATCAATAAAATATATTTTTTAAAAAAAAAAAGTTATGCTGAGTCCTAGTCGGTTTGGCTCAATGGATAGAGCATCGCCCCGCAGACTGAAGGGTCCTGGTTTTGATTCCAGTCAAGGACACAGACATCAATGTTTCTCTGTATTTCCTCCTCCCTTCCATTCTCTCTAAGAATCAACGGAAAAAATATCCTGTGGTGAGGACTAACAAAACACACAGAAAAACCCATAAAAAAGTTATGCTGATTTGCATTCTTCCCCATAAAATGTTGTGCCCAGATTTCAAAGTTCCCAAGACCTCCAGGGAGCCAGTCAGTCCGATGCTAAAGCAAAGAGTCATTTATTTCAAACCTAGGTTTGGCTCCCCTGCCACACTCACCCATGCAACGGTAAGCTCCAGTGGCCGAGAGCGAGGCCTGATGGGACAGGGGGTTTTAAAGGGGGGTGGAGTGAGGGCAGGAGAGGGGACTGTGGGCCCCGCTGATTGGCCAGGCGCGAGTCGGTACAGGATGTGGTCATAGTGATGGCGTGCACTTCCCTTGATTATTATTGGTTAGTCCAGAGAAATCCTGGGCGTGGCTAGCAGCGGCTTCTTCCCGTGAGGAAGCACATGGCACCGTCCCAAGATGGAGGACCCAAGGCAAGAGGGAGGGCGCGGTCCTTGCCCGGCTCCTGCCGCTGCCGCTCGAACCCGCCACAAGGCAGGATGGCCCCCCCCACAGCCCCCGCAGCCGGCCTGCGGGCAGACTGGGACTCCAGCGCGTCTGGGCGGCACAGGCCCAGCAAACGGGGTGCGGCCGGTGGAGCGGCCCAGCTCTGGAGGAGCGGCATCCGCTCGGAGCAGGCCCGGCCATGGGGCCGGTGCACTGCAGCATGGCGGCCTCCCCGAGCTAGGGCACGCACCCCACTCCGCTGCCGCGGCTGCTGCACTGGGCCCGGTCCGGGGGGGGGCAGCGGGCGGGTGGCAGCCCGCGCCGGGCTCCCGCCGTGGGCCGGGGAGCCAATGCCCCCCCCCCCCATGGGGCCCGGCGGTCGGCCCACGCAGGCCCCGGTCCCCCCGACCGGGCCCCAAGGGCCGCATGGCCCCCCGGCCCCAGCGCGGGCAAGCGGGGAGCCGACCTCGGGGGAAGGGAGGAAAGAGCCAGGCGGTGAGGCCTTCCGCTCCCATGACCTCCCCGTGGTCGGTCGTCCCCGGCCCCACCCCTCGGCCCGCCACTGGCCACCACGCAGCCGTCCGGACACTCGGACCCGCTCCGGGGAGGCCAGGCCCTACGGCCGGCGCGGAGGGATTTCAGAGCCCAGCGGCCAGACTCCTCCTCCCGCACCGCCCGGAGAGGCGGGCGGCGCGCCTTTCAAAAACATCTTTGATTCATTATAAAATATCTAAATTTTTGGCAGATAAGTTGTAAATCTTTTTATACATCTTAAATTTGATGCTCCAAGAAGACATAATAACACTATTTTGTCGGTAAGGAAACTGTGGATTATTACCACTTATTATTATCAAAATGCAGTGACAATTTCCCAGGCATATATAAGTATTGCTGGTAGTCAGATAAACGAACACATATCAAGTTAGACAACACTGTACTGTTTCTCAATCCCAGCTGGACAGCGATCCACTTTCATAATCAACATGGTATGCGCACAGAAGAAATTTTTAAAAAAATCTTACAAATATTACTCATCTCCAGTTACCGATATTAATAGGACCACACAATATGACAGACCTCACACCTCTCAGTCCTACAGAGAACTTCGCATAAATCCCCATGGTCACCACATCCGTTCACGACCACTTACGGCTGCTTTCCAACGGTGGCATAAATCGCTAACAAAAACTGCCTGACCCCTAAGGAAATACAGATTCACAATGGCAGAAACTGTACCATGAGTATAAATAACTCCACGCAGGGTCCCAGACAACGAGTTGGACCCACAAATTCACCCAAAACAAACAAGACGAGCCATCCGTTCAAACGCCACACCTCCTCCAGTCGCTGGTACCCAAGTAAGCTCGTGGCCCGCTTTACCTGGGATGCCCCGCTCACCGAGGGCTAAGTCCCTGGCCATCCTGCACTCCCATTTTTGCCTTCGCTGAGAACCTTTTAATTCACCCTCAGCCTCACCAAAGACGCCAGAGCCGCCAGGCTCGCCCAAGCCGGGAACGGCTCCCTACGGCAAAGGCTAGCTCTCCCGCTGGGCGTCGGAAAAGCGCCTCTTGACAGCTGCGCCGAGTTGCATCCTGGGAGCCTTCTGGAGGACCCCGTTTCCGGGACTTCGCCAGCTGGGGACTACGTTTCCCAGAAGTCTCCGGGCACAGGCCGGTTCAGGAAGAGTCAAGGGTGCCTGTGGGGAGCGTTTGGGACAGCAGGGCTCCCATAAGCTTCTGGGCCCAAACTAGCCTCGGTCTCTGGGTTCCTTTCCGTTGTCCCCGGGTTCTTGGCCTCTGCGCGGCGCGTTGGTCGCGTGCCAGACAGTTGTCAGCGCCGGCCGAGGGTGGGGGGCTCAACAGACTTCACGGAAGCGGGACTGGAACGGGCAGCGACGGTTGGGTGACGCCGGGAGGCAGGCGGCTGAGGTGAGGCGGCCCCTCGGGCACCGGGCCAGTTGTGTCGGGAGCCACAAGGCTGAGTGAGAAGGACGGCGCGGGATAGGCGGCGATACAGTCTCGGTAACAGGGTGATGGGGTGCGGGGCCTTTATTTGGAGGTGCGGTTCGCTTTGGCTGTGGGCTCTCAGTTCCCTCCGAGTCAAGCATGGCAAACTCCAAGGCTACACGGGCCAAATAAGTTGTAAGTGTATGTGGGCCGCAAAAAAACAAAAGCTCCAGTGTTCATAGGACGTAGGTGTATTTCGATAGAGACATGCTGAGTATAAAGGGCTGAAATATAAATGAGTCATCGTTAACATAAAATAATAGGACATCTTAATAAAAATTAATATTTTTTCTTGAACATTCACTTACCAGACACCGAATCACTGCACACATTAAGCGAGCAAACCTATTTTTCTTGTTCTTTGAAAGCAAAATGTTTTCTGTTGCGCACACCAAACAAGTCAGTATAAGACGAATGACGTGGCCATCGGCTGCTGAAATATTCACAGCTAGTGTTGGTGGAGAGAAATGGCGCGCCTGCGTGTAAGGCACGTAAGGAAAACGAATGCAACACGGTTGTAGTAATCAGTCGTTAGTGAATGTTGTGTTTGTTATTCTTAACTAGAGGCCCGGTGCACAAAATTTGTGCAGGGGGTGGGGTACCTGAAAGGCGCGCCGCCCGCCTCTCCGGGCGGTGCGGGAGGAGGAGTCTGGCCGCTGGGCTCTGGGATCCCTCCGCGGCCGCCGGCCTCCCCGGGGCGGTCCGAGTGTCCGGGCCGGCTGCGTGGTGGCCGGTGGCGGCGGGCCGAGGGGTGGGGCCGGGCGGCGACCGACCTGGGGAGGTCATGGGAGCGGAAGGCCTCACCGCCTGGCTCTTCCCTCCCTTCCCCCGTGGTCGGCTCCCCGCTTGCCCGCGCTGGGGCCGGGGGTCCATGCGGCCCTTGGGGCCCGGTCGGGGGGGGCCTGGGCCTGCGTGGGCCAGCCGCTGGGCCCCATGGGGGGGGCATTGGCTCCCCAGCCCACGGCGGGAGCCCGGCATGGGCTGCCACCCGCCCGCTGCCCCCCGGACCGGGCCCAGTGCAGCAGCGGCGGCAGCGGAGTGGGGCGCGTGCCCTAGCTCGGGGAGGCCGCCATGCTGCAGTGCACCGGCCCCATGGCCGGGCCTGCTCGGAGCGGATGCCGCTCCTCCAGAGCTGGGCCGCTCCACCGGCCGCACCCCGTTTGCTGGGCCTGTGCCGCCCAGACGCGCTGGAGTCCCAGTCTGCGCGCAGGCCGGCTGCGGGTGCTGTGCGGGGGGCCGTCCTGCCTTGTGGTGAGTTCGAGCAGCAGCGGCAGGAGCCGGACAAGGACTGCGCCCTCCATCTTGCCTTGGGGCCTCCATCTTGGGATAGAGCCACGTGCGCCCTCCATCTTGCCTTGGGTCCTCCATTTTGGGACGGTGCCATGTGCTTCCTCACGGGAAGAAGCCGCTGCTAGCCACACCCAGGATTTCTCTGGACTAACCAATAATAATCAAGGGAAGTGCACGCCATCACTATGACCGACTCGCGCCTGGCCAATCAGCGGGGCCCACAGTCCCCTCTCCTGCCCTCACTCCACCCCCCTTTAAAACCCCCGGTCCCATCAGGCGTCTCTCTCTCTCGGCCACTGGAGCTTACCGTTGCATGGGTGAGTGTGGCAGGGGAGCCAAACCTAGGTTTGAAATAAATGACTCTTTGCTTTTGCATCGGACTGACTGGCTCCCTGGGGGTCTTGGGAACTTTGAATTCTGGGCACAACATACCCTTGGCCCAGCCTGCACCCTCTCCAATCCGGGACCCCTCAGGGGATGTCCGACTGCCAGTTTAGGCCCGATCCCAGGGAATGGGCCTAAACCAGTAGTCCGACATCCCACTCACAATCCTGGACCACTGGCTCCTAATCGCTCACCTGCCTGCCTGCCTGCCTGGTCACCCCTAACTGCCGCCCCCCTCCGCCAGCCTGATCGCCCCTCACGCCTAACTGCCCCCCCCCCCCCCGCGCTGGCCTGGTTGCCTCCAACTGCCCCCCTCTGCCGGCCTGGTCGCCCCCAACTGCCCCCCCCTGCTGCCTAATTGCCCCTCACTGCCCCCACTGCCAACCTAATCGCCCCTAACTGCCCCTCCCCCGCTGGCCTGGTTGCCCCCAACTGTCCCCCTCTGCTGGTCTGGTCGTCCCTAACTAGCCCCCCCCCCCCCCCGCTAGTCTGGTCGCCCCCAACTGCCCCTCCCTGCTGGCCTGGTCACCCCACGCAGCCTGCTGTTCAGTCATTTGGTCGTCCCTCACTAACCCCCCTGCCAGCCTGGTCGTAGGCAGCCATCTTGTGAGGGTGTGGGGGTTAATTTTCATATTACCTCTTTATTATATAGGATTATAACAGGATATTGTAAAAATTACGTTATGAAATTTTTATTAAAACGTTTCTTACATACCGTTATATTGGCTGGGCCACAAAAATATTCATTGTGGGCTCCATGCGGTCCGCGGGCCGTGAGTTTGACATGCCTGGTCTGGACTCTCAGGTCCTGAAAAGTTAAATGACCCCAAGAAAAGAAGCCCTGCACTAAGCCCCAGCCTGAACGTGTCAAGCAGGAAGTAGACCTGGGATGAGTACTTTACATCTGGAGGTGTCCTCGTGACAGGCTCCCAGAAGACTTGAGGGGAGGGGTGTCCCAGGTAGGGTTCCTAGAGGAGGCACCCCTCGCTGCTCCCTGGGGGCCAGCTACATGCTCCCGAGCCTCAGTTCCCAAGAATTGCTGTCAACTCAGATAGAGTCCAGCCTCCCTTTAAGTTCGACTTGCTTATATGTGGATGAAAGCAGATGTGGCCCTAGGGGGTGTTTTGGCTCTGTTTTCCATTTTTAATTTAACTCTGTCTGCTCCAAGAAATGCTGGTGTCAAATGATTCCTCTTCCCTCCCACTGCTGTCAGGTTTCTAAGAAGGACCCTGAGGAGGAGGAAAGAACAGTTGGATATCTGGGAATTGAAGTTCAGGTGAGTTTGTGTTTCTTTCATAGTCATACAATTACTTTTGCTTTTAGATCATGAGAATATTTGCTTTCCTTGGCCTGAAATATCTTGACTAGTAGGGTTTCTCACGGGTCTTCCTTTTGGTGAGGGACCCACCACGCTGGTGCACCCCCCTTCCCAGGGGTCCCATATTGTCCTTTTCTTCAGCTAATGGCCATCTGTTCACATGGTGAATTGTTCAAATCCTTCAGTGCATTCTCCCTTTCTAAGTGTTCTGATGGCATTGAAATACACCTCGTGGAGCCCTAGCTGGTTTTGCTCAGTGGACACAGTGTGGGCCCTCAGACTGAAGGGTCCTAGGTTCGATTCCAGTCAACGGCTCGTACCTCGGCTGCAGACTTGATCCCCAGTCCTATCGGGGCACGTGTAGAGGCAACCAATTAATGTGTCTCTCTCACATTGATGTTTTTCTCTCTCTGTCTCTCTCTCTCTCCCTTCCACTTTCTCCAAAAATCAATGGGAAAGTATCCTCGGGTGAGGATTAACAAAAAAACAAAAGCACGAACAAAAAAGATATATACCTCGTGGAGATAACTGTTAGAGCTTTATTTTAGCTTATGATTACTTGGAGAGGTTAGTATTCAGGTAGATAAACTATTTTTTATCTTTTCCACAGTCATGATTTTCAAAGCTCAAGGCAAGGGAAGAGGGAATTGTTAGTTTCAGTTAATAAATTCCAATGTTTGTGCCCGGCCAGTGTGGTTCAGTGGTTGAGGATTGACCTATGAACCAGAAGGTCACAGTTCGAATCCCTGTCAGGCACATGCCCAGGTTGTGGGCTTGATCCCCAGCAGGGGTTGTGCAGGAGGCAGCCTATCAATGTTTCTCTCTCATCATCGATATTTCTATCTCTCTCTTCCTTTCCCTTCCTCTCTGAAATCAATAAAAATATAGTTTTAAAAAAATTTCCACTGCCTTTAGGAGCAGCTATGTGCTTTGAGCTTTGAGCATAGGGCTTTGCAGTGTGCATCAACAGAGCAGAGACTTTCAGATAATCTTTTAGTAGAAATCTATAACATTGCTAAGCATAAATTGTTTCAGGTCCAACTTTTCTTTTTTAATATATATTTTATTGATTTTTTACAGAGAGGAAGGGAGAGGGATAGACAGTTAGAAACATCGATGAGAGAGAAACATCAATCAGCTGCCTCCTGCACAACCCCTACTGGGGATGTGCCTGCAACCCAAGGTACATGCCCTTGACTGGAATCGAACCTGGGACCCTTCAGTCCTCAGGCCGACGCTCTATCCACTAAGCCAAACCAGTTAGGGCTCAGGTCCAACTTTGTGTAGGCTGTGAGAGGCAGGCAGTACTGTGTGTGGTTAAGAGTAAGGCTCTGGATCTAGAGCACCTGGATTCACATCGTGGCTCTGCTGTTCTAGCTGCGTGAGCTTAGACAAATGATTCTGGCTCTATATGCCACGTCAACAAAATCAGGACAAAAAAATACCTACCTTATGGGGTTGTAATGATGTGAGATGAGCTAATATGTGTCAAGCACCTTAGAACAGTGCCTGCCCAGTGATACCGGCTTGGTAAATATTAAGAGCTGCTGTTATGTGGTGATTCTGGATCTTTCCCAATCAACTCCTTATAGATCAACATATGAAGAGAAATATGAAGATGATTGTGGTGGATACTTACAAGTTTAAAAATGTTGCCGAAACCGGTTTGGCTCAGTGGATAGAGCGTCGGCCTGCGGACTGAAAGGTCCTAGGTTCGATTCCGGTCAAGGGCATGTACCTCGGTTGCAGGCACATCCCCAGTGGGAGATGTGCAGGAGGCGGCTGATCGATGTTTCTCTCTCATCAATGTTTCTAACTGTCTATCCCTCTCCCTTCCTCTCTGTAAAAAATCAATAAAATATATTTAAAAAATAATAATAATAATAATAAAAATAAAAAAAAAATAAAAATGTGACCAGATGCTCAAATGGTAAGGTAATAGAAGGAGGAAAGAGGTCTTTACCGCAGGTCTTATTCCAGATGACCACAAACAGTTTGAAATTGAGACATAATTTTGGCAAATATTTGTAAATTTTTAAAGTGGGCACAATGTCTATAATTTAATGAAGTTATCCAGCGCACATGACTTAAAAAATATCTAGCTCCATTGGCCTGGAATAAAAAGGTATAAGAGCTAGGAAGGAACTTGTAGAAAATTAGTGTCCAGTGATAATGGAAACAGGTAAATTTCAGTATTTCCTGTGGTATAATAATATTCACCTAATAAAAATTATGTTTATAAAGAATCAAAAGAAGAAAAAATGTAAATGATAATATTAAGCAAAAGTTATAGCTATGAACAAAAGTACTCAAGAATATTAGGAGCGCTATGTGAATTCCATTAGAAAAGACAGGATTTTGAAAGACGTTTTTCAAGGATCGTATCCAAAATGTTGTTTTCATCATTCATTCAGTGAAGAGGTCAGGTGTAGCCACACTTGTCCAGCATCTACTTTGTACCAAACACGTATGTTTTTGTTGTCTTTCTGCTTATGTGTATATATTTTCTTCCTCAGACTTTGAAGGTGACTTACATAATTCGTGTTCATTGACCGGAGAATCTTGACAGTGAAAGTGTCTCATTGTAGTGATGAGCTACAGCCCCGGGATGTTCAAGAGCAGGTAGGTGTAATTTGTTTCAGGCCCACTGATTTTCAGTGTTGGGCTTTTTGTTTCGTTTTCTTAATGACTGCAATATTTTACATTTGGTTATGGAATTAATACAAGTTTGTGACAAAACAATTTATTAATCCAGGAAACATATAGAAAATGAGGTAAAAATTATATCCTCCTACTCATTCTTAGTATTCCAGTGTGTGTGTTTTGCTTGTTTGTTTTCCTACAAGCCTGTGTATCTGGTTTTGTTTCTGCAGAATAAAGTCACATTATGGTGATATAATTGATTTGAAGACTCTCTAGCTTTTAGTTGGAAATGAAATAAAAGAGGGGTAAGAAGTGTAACAGGTGGTTGCACTGAAGATTAAGAAAAATCATATAAAATGGTGTACAATAATTGCTTAAAATACATTTTAGCCATTAAATAACCCCCAGACAAGGCTTTTATTTTCATCTTTATTTAATCTTGAGTATGTAGAAAGAGGAGGGAAGTGCCAGTGATTCTTTCCTTATTTGAAAATTTTCAAGTATTTACAGCTTTTAGGAATAGTATAGAAATGCTATTTAGAAATTGATTACCAGAGCAATGAAGATGAATTTAAAGGTTACTTCCACAGAGAATAGCAATAATCTCTAATGTCTTACAAAAATCTATTTTACAAATATTTCCAGGACAGGTATTAATACCAAGAGGTAAAATAAGGAGGTTATAGTTTTAAATATTCAAATAAGCCACCAATTTGCACAGAACAACCCGATTAAGCCTCTGGTTAATGTTCCCAGATTGACACCTCATTGGGTTATATTTTCTGAGCTGGTTTTGCAGTACCTAATTTGTCTCTTCATCTGCAGCTTCTGGAAGGAGGGAGTATTTTTTTCTGTATCTTTTTAAGAGCCTGCTTTGCTCATCTTGTTATTTAGGAAGAATAGCAGGCTTAGGGCTGGGCTGTGTGATTTAGAAATTGTAAGAAAGCAGGCCTGAGATTTTATCATGAGAAAAATTATAAGAATGGTATTAACTTTCTTGCATTAACTTTCTCACATTATTACAATGTAATAAGGGATAAGTAATCTTTTTCATTTTCACTAGTAATGGCTAAAACTTATATTAAGCAATGATCGTACACTATTTTATGTGGTCTTTCTTATTTAATCTTCAATGCAACCATCCATGGTAGACACTTTTTACCCCTCTTTTATTGAATTTCTCAACAGAGGTGTTGAGAAATTGGTAACCATCAAGTTCAAGTTTGACATCAGAGTCTTTATCTTAATTTCACATACACTTCACACCTTATGTATCTTTTAATAAACCTGCTTGCCTCACTAAGAAATTGACTGTGTATGTCTTTCTTCATCAATTAATGTGGCCCATTACCTTCACAACTGTGAAGGTAGAATGGGCCATAATTTATTAAGCCTTTTGCCCAGTATTACATAGTTTCTAATTCTTGGTTAGCATAAATGATTTTTGGTTGAATATTCTTATGTATATATCTGGTTATTTCCCTAGCTATTTAAGGATACATTTCTAACTGGAATTTTGGGTAAAAATGTGTCCCAAATGTAAGACCCTGAGATAGTAGTACTTAAGCGGTAATATAATGACTAAAAGACACAGTTGTTACCTTTAGGATAAGAAAAACAAAATATGTTTAGTAATAAGTAGGGCAGTCAGCAACAAAGGCCAATATGCAATTCAGATAACCTATTTTAGGAACTCATAGTAAGGTAATTGTAAGCAATACTGTTAAGTTATACCAACTTTGTGGAGGCAAATGGAATATAGCCTGCGAGTTTCATACTGTATAGTTTTTATCCTGCTAATATTAGTTGCAAAGTAAGGCTATAGGATCAGGTGATTCAGCATTTTCCTGGAGGGTATCATGTCTAAAAAGACAAGTTCAGACACAAAATAAGCCCATTTATCAGAAGACATGAAAAGTAGGATCAAGACCTCTCAGTATACCCTTGAGATTTCTTTGGGAATTTCAACCATTTTTTCTAGGGAAAGAAATCATATAGTTAGTATAATGCATGCCCATCGTTACAATAATTATGCAGAATATCTAAACCAAAAGGTCATTATTGTCATACTACATTATTATATACTAGTGGTCCGGTGCATGAAATTTGTGCGGGGGGGGGGGGGGGTGTCCCTCAGCCTGTCCTGCACCCTCTCCAATCTGGGACCCCCTCAGGGGATGTCCAACTTCCGGTTCGGGTATTGGGCCTAAACCGGCAGTCAGACATCCCTCTCACAATCCAGGACTGCTGGCTCATAACCACTCACCTGCCTGCCTGCCTGGTCACCCCTAACCACTCTGCCTGTCAGCCTGCTCGCCCCCAACTGCCCTCCCCCCACCGGCCTGATTGCCCCCAACTGCCCCCCCCACCAGCATGCTCACCCCCAACTGTCCCCCCTGCTGTCCTGATCGCCCCCAACTGCCACCCCTGCCGGCCTGCTCACCCCCAACTGGCCCCCCTGCCAGCCTGATCACCCCCAACTGCCCTCCCCTTCTGGCCTGATTGCCCCTAACTGCCTCTGCCTCGGCCCCACCACCATGGCTTCATCCAGAAGGACATCCCGAAGGTCTCCCAGAAGGTCTCCTGGTCTAATTAGCATATTACCCTTTTATTAGTATAGATAGCTATATAACTTTCCAAACAGTTTTTCATCTATTGATGTCTGACCATCAGTCTTTCTGTTTTGATATATGCATATTTAAAAATGTAGTTATACTATGTACATCATGTAACCTATTTTTTTCTGTTGATAATTGATCTTGATTATTTTCCCCAACTTAGCATAATTTCAAAGTGTTCCATTGCATGGATGTTCTGAATGCATTAAGTTATATTTTGGGGTGCAGGCAATTACCTGAGCAATTGTTTGTATGTCCTGCCTGCTCCTATGTGTGACCAATTTTCTAAAGTCCTAAGCCCATGAAGAATGTTTTGGTCTTGGACCATGTGGGAATGGAAGGTGGGAGATCTGATCTGGGGAGGACTGAATGGTCCAATCTCAGGGTCATAGCAGCACCCCCAGAATTGGGCTGTGAGGGAAACCTTTCTGCTGAAGGACCTGGGGATTTTAGGTGAGAGTTTAGATTCCACATATGTGTGTGGGGTGTGGATTCATTTGAGCCATGATGGGATCAGTTAAGCACACCTGGTCTCAAGCTTCCTTTTCCTTCCCCAGCTCTGGCTTTTCTGGACTCTGTGCTTCACCAATAGAGGAATCCCATGGAGCGCTAATTAGTTCTTGCAATTACGGAACCATGACTGATGTAAGTTGGTATTTCTCTCTACTTGGAATACAGTGATTTTTAGTTTATGCGAATCTTTTCCTTAGTTATACTAAAGCCTTCTATCTAATAGACCCCATCCCTGAACCCGCCTCTCAGTTCCTCCTATTCCAGTGAAGGATGGCACCCAATACCCGACGCCCTCCCGAGGTGCCTTTCCCGTCAGTCATCATGCTCACTCAGCATCTCCTGCATGCTCAGCCTTCTGTCAGGAACAGTAAAGAATAGAGTCTTGTGGGAAGTACTTGAGCTTCTGTCAAAGAATAGCTCTTTTACTTGAATGAAAGGAAAAACCAATAGTAGATGGATTTTATCTATCAAAGCACAGATGGGATTTATATAAGAGAAGGATGAAAAAGGAGAGAATGAAAGACTGTAGACATTTTGGAAACGACAGTTTTCTCTTTTCTGCTAAGATGCTGGTTGGCAGGAGCTAGGAAAGAAGCCAGTCAGAATGCTCTTCCCTTGACAGCTGGACAGCCACCAAGAAGGCAGTTTCGGGGACACGTCCTCTGGAAGAGCTTTGGTGTGTCCCTGTGGCCTGTCTCGGCAGGCTGTCTCAGGTGGTGCCCTTTGTTATCACCTCCACCTTCGGGCCACCAGGCCTGCACCATTTCCCTTATCAGAATCTCTCATTCCCTTGTCAAGTCTGTGTATGATGAGTTAGTGAGGAGGGTCCCCGTGGACCACACAGGAGCGCTTGGAACTTCTTCACAGACCTGAGTTTTCCAGAAGGTTCAGGTGGGATTTGGGATTTCTTGGTTTCAGCCTAGGTTATGTGCAATCATATGCTTTGCAAGGCTTTCAGGATTAGAGGGGGAGTGAGTGGTTCTTTCCAGGGATTCCCTAATTGATGAACACCAGTATCCAAGTCCATTTCGTCATTGACCAGGACATGCAGGTCTTGGGCAACATGTGTTAGGCACAGTATCCTCCAGCTTGGGAATAAGGAAGGTGTTAATCGATGGGCGGTTAATGATATCAAGATGATCCAGCCCCTCAGGTGTGGCTCAGAGGTTGAGTGCCAACCTGTGAACCAGGAGGCCACCATTGGATTCCTGGTCAGGGCACATGCCTGGGTTGCGGGCTCAGTCCCCAGTAGGGGGCTTGCAGAAAACAGCTGATCAATGATTCTCTGTCATCATTGATGTTTCTATCTCTCCCTCTCCCTTGCTCTATGAAATCCATAAAAATACATTTAAAAAAAATATTTCCCAAAGAAAAGATGATCCAGATTTTTAAGTATGATTCCAAGAATTAAGAAAATCTTTAAAAATTTTGTTTAACCTAAATATGTAAACATAATAGTTATTAATCTCATATATCCAAATGATGAACTGAATTGTAGCTAATAACCCATTTTATGTATTCATCATAATAAGAAACAATTCTTTTGATGAAATCTAACAGAATGATTTACTTGAGGCTTAATGATAATTTTTAATGGAAATGATATTTCTGAAATAGAGACTTTAGAGTGTGTTTTTGGGGAAAAATTTCATCTCCATATTCCTTAAAGGGAAAAGATGGTATAGCAGTTCACATTTACAAAGAATTTATGAGGCAGGCACATAGCAGGGTATGTGTATGTATACCCATAAGCTCCCTTTCTCCCCTCCACTATTTTTCTTGAATAGAAGAGAAACTGGGATTTTTAAATATATTATCAGACAGGTCTCGAGAACTGAGTTATCTCACAGTATCCTGGAAGTTTTTTCTGCTCTACCAGGATGCTTCTAGAACAGCGGTTTTCAGCCTGTGGGTCACGCCGCCTTTGGCTGTCGAACGATCCTTTCACAGGGGTCCCCTAAGACCGTCCTGCATATCAGATATTTACATTACGATTCATAACAGTAGCAACATTACAGTGATGAAGTAGCAACGAAAATAATTTTATGGTTGGGTCACAACATGAACTGTATTTAAAGGGCCAGAAGGTTGAGAACCACAGTTCTAGAAGATGTAGACATACTGCCTTAGTCATAATAATTTCCTTACTTTTTCCTACCTGTGTGTATCACAAGCTTCAAGCTTCCTTTATTGTCATATTTTTCTCTTCTTGCAGTTTATCCTTCACAATCTTTTTTTTCCCTCTTGGAAATATTTTCTTAAGTTATTTAATTTCTTAAGTAACGTGTGGGTTTTTGGTTTTAGGGGTTGGTGACTTTCAGTGATGTGGCCATCCACTTCTCCCAGGAAGAGTGGGAGTGCCTGAGCCCTGCTCAGAGGGACTTATACATGGATGTGATGTTGGAGAACTACAGTAACTTGATTTCACTGGGTAAGGTCATCCGCCTGAAATAATCCAGAATCTCCTCTCTGCAACATCAGCTTTCTTCACTGGGAATCACAGGGCTGTCTTTGAAGAAACCAGATGAATTTCTTTTCCTGTTCTCAAAGGAGTGGTTGATATTTGTTGGGTTAGATGGGTTCATTGCGCACCTTGATCTTCCCACCCCTCACTGAGCTTCACCCCTTCCTCTGACCCTTCCTGCAATGAATGGCCTCTCTTTAATGACCAAGGGGCTGGAATTGTGTGATGGGGCATTTATTTCATAACCATTGTCAGAAAAACCAGGTTTCATACTGTGTTTAACGTCAACATTTCTATAAATGAGCTGTGTCCTTGCTACTGCAAGTGTGGTTCTTTTGTTTGAGGAACCATAACAAGACCAGAGCAAAGTAGTGAAGGAGAGAGTATCAGTAATTAGTGAGGAAGACAGGCAAGGCCCAGAGCATATGCAGTTTCGTTAGTTTGGGGAAGGCGGGGCGAGGATGTAGATTGTTTTCTCAGGGATTGGAAGCCATGACTTGGTTTCCATGGGGTTTTAACTTGCTTATTGTTAAGTGTTACACAAAGAAGCAACATGAGCTTCTTCTGGGGCTGGTTAGAAATGCAGCTTGTCAGGTCCTGCCCCAGACCTGCAGGACAGAATCTGCATTTACAAGATCCCTCGGTGATTTTTACGCACCTTAAAGAAGCACTGCTCTTGGTTCTTTCCGGACCCACATGGAGGTCGTACAGCTAGGAACAGGGTCCTGATACACTCTGGCTTTCAAAAGAGCCTCTTCACTTTAGCTAGGGCTGGTTTGAATGAACAGAATTCATTTCTTACTAAGCAAATGCATTTCTTTACTTACAACAAAGTTAGAGTAAAAAGTTACAATCTGAGCTAACTCCTAAAAATGTCTCATGAAACTTCTTGTTTTCCTCTCAGCAAAGTAACAACAATAACAATAATATTAACAGTTAACACTGTACTTACTATAAACTAGGGCCAGGGTCCTCAAACTTTTTAAACAGGGGCCAGTTCACTGTCCCTCAGACCGTTGGAGGGCCGGACTATAGTTTAAAAAAAAACTATGAACAAATTTCTATGCACACTGCACATATCTTACTTTGAAGTAAAAAAACAAAACGGGAACAAATACAATATTTGTATTTGCATGTGGCCCGCGGGCCGTAGTTTGAGGACCCCTGATTCTAGGCTTTATTGTAAGTAGAACACATATATTAACTTACTTAACTTTCACAATGTCCCCATGAGGTAGGTACTGTTTTATTTTTAATATGTTTTTATTGATTTTTTAGAGAGAGAGGAAAGGAGAGGGAGAGAGAAAGAGAGAGAAACATTGATGTGAAAGAAATATCAATTGATTGCCTCCTGTACACACCCCAACAGGGATCAAATCCGAAACCTGGGCATGTGTCCTGACCAGGAATCGAACTGACGACCTTTCGGTGCATGAGACGACACTCAACCAATTGAGCCACACCAGCCAGAGCACAGGTGGGTACTATTTTTATCTGAGGCACATATAGTTTAAGTGACTTTCTAAGGTCACACAGCTGGTGGGAGACATGGCAGCAATTGAACATAGGAAGTCTGGCTCCAGGGACTGTATTCTGTTTGTTCTAGGGATGGAGCCTGGAGGAATCTCAAACAAGATCATTTTCCTATCTATGTGATGTCATGGTCTTTATTCCCATCATCCTTCTCTTTTCTGAGGTCTTTATCAACATTATTTTTACCTTTACTTTATTGACAGTTAGCCAAATATTTTAGCTTAGAGTAGGCATATGTGAGGACATTATTAGAGCAAGAAGGAGAGTCCTGGATGGTTGTGAGGGGAGGGCTGAGAAGTTTTAACCCAGGAAGGCAAAGACAGGAAGGAGGGAACCAACATTGCAGGAAACAACCTCACAGGTCGCAGAAAAGGAGAAGCAGGAATATCCGGGGTGATGTTTGGAAAGGTCCCTATAAAGGACCAAGGCCTGTAGAGTGAAGGCCCATCACCGGGGAGCAAATTGAAGTATTAGTTTGAGCTACCAAAGGAACTTCATCTTGATCTCATTCCCACCCTCCTTGTTTTCTTCTCATATTTCCCTTCGATTTCAGTGAGGAGGGTGTGTTTATTGTTTCCAGTATAACCATTTTGCTTATATGTTGGATTCATCACCTTTCTAGCTCTTTTGTATTTGTGAGTAAATATATGCATTCATTCATAAAGTCTGCAAATTTTTTGTTTGTTTGTTTTGTTAATCTTCACCCAAGGATATTTTTTCCATTGATTGTTAGAGTAGAAGGGAGGGAAAAGGGGCGAGAGAGAGAGAGAGAGAGAGAGAGAGAGAGGGAGAGAGAGAAACATCAATGTGACAGATACACACTGGTTAGTTGCCTCCTGCACGTTCCTGGACTGGGGCTGGGGATCGAATCTGCAACCCAAGTACATGCTCTTGACCAAGAATAGAACCCACAACCCTTTTTTGCACAGGCCATCACTAAACACTGAGGCACACCAGCCAGGGCTGCAAATATTTTGAGTGCCTACTCCCAGCCAGGCATTGCACCCTCATGAACAAGATTGATAACTACCCATTCTCATGCAATTTATGTAGTCAGGGAGAAATAAGTAAATAAATAAATACATGCATAAATACAATCTTATAACATGTTTTTTCAGGAAAGGTAAACGACAGAAGAGAACAGAAAATGATGGGAATTCATAAGACTAATTCAGATACTGTGGCTAGAGAAAGTTTTCTTGAATAGATACATGAAGCCTGGGATCAAATTATATGACTATATGGGGGAGGACTATACCAGTCACAGTCAACAGCAAATGCAAAGGCCCTGTGGTTGGAAAGGAACTTTATTGGAGGGCCTGTAAGGCCAGAGCAGAATTAGCAGTGGAGCGTGTACTAAGAAATTAGGAGATAGGCAAGGGTCTATAGGCAAGGAGATAATACAGTTTTGTCATTGTTTTAGGAATTTGAGTTGTTTAGTCTTTCACTCTGAAATAGTTCCTGTGTCTTTCCCTGACTTGAAGCCCTTGCTGCTTCTGAAGATTACAGGCCAGTTGTTCTGTCCAGTGCTCCTCAGTATGGGTTTGTCTGCTTTTTCCTCACGATTAGATTTAGGTTATGCATTTTTGGCAGAAATATCACAGAATTGATGCTGCATTCTCCTTGCATCCTGTCAGGCAGTGCAAATGATTTGTCATTACTGCTGATGCTTCCTTTGAGCAGTTGATTAAGGTTGTATCTGCCGGCTTCCTTCATGTAAAGTTAATCTTTGTTCCTTTAATGAGTATTTTGTGGGAAGGAACTTTGAGACTATTAAATATTGTATTCTCCTTCAAACTTCCTTTTATTTATATATTGGATTTCTAGTTAATGGGTTGTAATATGCTCTTCCCATTATTTATTTTAAAGCTCAAAATATTTGAGCTTGTTCCAGATTTGACCACTGGGAACCCTGTCATACAGCTTCTGTGTCCTCTGGTATATCTCCATCACTCTAAACACTTCCTTATTTCTGACAAAAGCACATTTCAGGCTTATCTTGTACTTTTCCTGTTTCAGCTTTAATATCAACCACTTTCTACATGGGACAACCAAGAAATTTTAACCCAGGAAGGCAAAGACAGGAGGGAACCAACATGTTAGTCCAGAGTGGTATTTAGCAGCCAAAATCTGGGTACTAGGTTTGCTCATTGCTACTGAGGGATGGCTGCTCCCAGGCCCCCTTGGACAGAACTAGAGAACATACTTATATACCACATATATACGTATACATGCACACACGTTTACTTCTATATATCGAAAATCTTGAGTTCACACAGATATCTCCAATTCCAATTCAACACTACAGGTTTCATTTCAACTTACTTTCCGCATTTCTAACTACGTTCTCTAACAGTGAAAAACCTGGCTTCCTTTATCCTTAATATATTTACTTACTTGATCAAACTCTCTGTATGTAACCAGCCTTCCATTACCACCACCACCTTAATCCTGTGATTGCTGTTCTCATCCCACTTGGACTATGGCAGCCCTTGCCAGGTCACACACAGACACTTGTCCTTCTCCTGCTTGCATTCTGACTTTCTACATGGGACAATCCTTTTTATATTGGAACCCCCTTCACATTGACATTCAGTACCCTACTCTGAGTTTTATTTTATTACATCTTGACCCTTGAGTGTGCATTAAGAAAATATTTTGTGTGATAAAATAGGAAGTATTTGTTAAGCTTCTCTGTTGCATACCAAAGTATGATGGTGGCCTTGAGGAAAACCACTTGTGCAGTTGTTTGAATTGTGAGTTAAACTTGCCATTTTTTATGGAGCACCATTTTTTTTTCTTGAAAGACTAACTAACACTATGGTTATCCAGACTTAGATAGTTGTTAAAATTTTCTTGCAAGTGAGCCTGTCATTTCAAGAACAACTATTTGTTGCCAATAATAGAATACAAACTTTCAAGTAAAAATTAAAATTGTATGAAACTTATGTCCACCATTTTGAGCTTTATAGCTTTCCAGTACATATTTTTTTCCTAATGAGATAGGTGGTAATATTACCATATGATTGTTTTGATAGTGTATAATGAAATATATCAAATTCTCAAACATCTGCACAGTGCAGTGAACCACTATTTTTCGAATGACCAATGTATGATGTTGCAAAATTATGCATGGATAAAAGGTCATTCAAAGTGTAATGGATTTTAATGTAACATTATGAAAAATTCCTGGGTATAATTGCATATTCCACATTGTAGTTAACTTTTAAGGAACTACCACTTCTCAAGTTTTACTGTAATATCAAAGAAACGCATCCACAATGATCTGAACAGGCTTATAAAATACTAGAGGCCTGTTGCACAAAATTCGTGCATGGGGGGGCAGGGGGAAAGGGGTGTCCCTCAGTCCAGCCTGCACCCTCTCGCAATCCAGGACCCCTCAGGTAGGGTCCCTAGGCCTGGCCGGCGATCAGGGCCTCTTGGAGCTTTCCTTCCTGCCGGCAGCTAGCCCCTCCCCCACTGCTGCCACTGCTTGCCATCTGTGCAGCACTTACCCCCTTCCCCCACCACCAGTCACCTCCCTCTGCGAGTGACAGGTGTGGGGTGCGATCGCGTGGCTGGCCTGGGCCTCCCTCTGCAGGGCGATCGCTGGCCCGCCCCGCACACCCACCACAGTGTCACTGGCTGGTGGCCTGGGCCGCCTTCTACTGGGCAATCGTTGGGCGATGGCAGGGGCCCCTGACCAATTGCATCACACCCACCTTGGCTGGCCTGGCACCAGTGTGTGTCATAGCATTGTCAGCGGAAGGTTGTCCAAACGGCCATTCTGCTGTTCGGTCATTTGGTCGATTTGCATATTATGCTTTTATTATAGATTATTCCATTTTACAACTGCATATCTGTGGAAGATTGGATTCTTTATATACTTCAACCATAATAGCATTGCCACAGATTAAATGCCGAAGCAGATATGAGAATCCAGTTGTTTTATTTTGGAAAATATAATTATTTTTCATAAAATCTATTAACATTCAATGATTTATTGTAAAAAGACATAACCCATATAAACAAAAGTGCTTTTGGGTTCTCAATGATTTTTTTAAAGAGCATCCAACAAGAAGTTAAACCTATATTCATTTATAAACTCTGTTAAGCCTTACAAAAAACATTTAAGTACCAAGTAATTATAATGCAAGCCCTTAGCTGGCAATTCAAACTTAATTGAACTCTTTGTTGATGCTAAGTTGTACAAAACTGCGTTCCAAGCCTGGAGCTGAGCTGGGACTGGGTGATAACTTTCATTAGTTTCAGTTTATTTCTTGTTTCTAGATTTTAAACATCTTTCTTTGCTCTAAACTTCCCACATGACCACTGATGGCTAACCTCTTTTAGTGTATCAGGATTTGAGCTGGGTGGTTGTATTACAGCTGTAGTTAGTTGTGTTTCACGTCTTGTTTGGAAATCCAGTAGAGTCTTGGAACTTAATAACTGCTCAAATTGCAAGATTTTGTCTGCTTTCTAGCTCAACACCAACCACTCAGAAAAATTCCTATGAGGGAGAATTATCTAGCTTAATGAAGTTGTTTTTAAATGTGAATATTTTCTAGAATCCAGTTAATCATGCCAGCCTATACAGTCATTAAAAGTTTGGCTGGAATCACACCTGCGCACAGAAGGGCTTGACTGATGCTAGGGATTTTAAGGGATCCATCTACACAGGAAGAGGGACTTGTTAAAGTGATTTTTGTCGAATTCTCCAGAAAACTGTCAAATCAGAACATTAAGATTACAGGAGCTGAAAAATCAAATTTGAATTTGATGAGAAGAGACTTGATGCTTAGGAGTTTAGTAAGTCTAATCCAATTCACTTATGGGTATTATTTTCAATTCATCTTTTTTTTTACTATAGAAGGCATTTTTCTGGTAGAAGAAATAAAATGTGTGGTTTTCCTGTTTTCTTTCAGATTTGGAGTCAACATATGAGACTGAAAATAACTTTTCAGGAAAGAACATTTCTGAAATAAGCTTTTCCCAATGGGCAATAAAGGAAAGAAGTAAAACCCTTGATCTTGAGGCATCCATTTCCGAAAATAATTGGAAATGCAAAAGCAAATTTGATGAACTACAGGAACATCAAGAGGAATACTTCAGTCAAATGATAATCAGCTATGAAAAGCCCAGTTACCAAAAAAGTAAATCTCTTATTGCACACCAAAGACTTAATCCAGAGAAACCCGACATTTGTAAGGAATGTGGGAAGACTTGTAGTCATAGTTCAAAACTTGTTCAACAGGAGAGAACTCATACAGCTGAAAAACACTTCGAATGTAAAGAATGTGGTAAGGACTTTTTTAGTGCCTATCAACTCACTGTGCATCAGAGATTTCATACTGGTGAGAAACCCTACAAATGTAAGGAATGTGGGAAGACTTTTAGTTGGGGATCAAGTCTTGTTAAACATGAGAGAATCCACAGTGGTGAGAAGCCCTATGAATGTAAAGAATGTGGAAAGGCCTTTAGTCGTGGCTACCACCTTACTCAACATCAGAAAATTCACATCGGTGTGAAATCTTATGAATGTAAGGAATGTGGAAAGGCCTTTTTTTGGGCCTCAAGCCTTGCTAAACATGAGATAATTCATTCAGGTGAGAAACCTTATAAATGTGAAGAATGTGGGAAAGCATTCAGTCGTGGCTATCAACTTACACAGCATCAGAAAATCCATACTGGTAAAAAACCTTATGAATGTAAAGTATGTGGAAAGGCTTTCTGTTGGGGTTATCAACTTACTCGACATCAGATATTTCATACTGGCAAGAAACCCTACGAATGTAAGGAATGTGGGAAGAGCTTTAATTGTGGTTCAAGTCTTGTTCAACATGAGAGAATTCATACGGGTGAGAAACCCTATGAATGTAAAGATTGCGGAAAGGCTTTTAGTCGTGGCTATCACCTTGCTCAACATCAAAAAATTCATACTGGTGAGAAACCTTTTGAATGTAAGGAATGTGGGAAAGCCTTTAGTTGGGGTTCAAGCCTTGTTAAACATGAGAGAGTCCATACTGGTGAGAAATCCTATAAATGTAAAGACTGTGGAAAAGTCTTTGGTAGTTTGTATCAACTTGCTCGACATCAGATACTTCATACTGGAGAGAAACCCTATGAATGTAAGGAATGTGGGAAGACCTTTCATTGTGGTTCAAGTCTTGCTCAACATGAGAGAATTCATACTGATGAGAAACCCTATGGATGTAAAGAATGTGGAAAGGCCTTTAGTCGTGGCTACCACCTTACTCAACATCAGAAAATTCACATTGGTGTGAAATCTTATGAATGTAAGGAATGTGGAAAGGCCTTTTTTTGGGCCTCAAGCCTTGCTAAACACGAGATAATTCATTCAGGTGAGAAAACTTATAAATGTGAAGAATGTGGGAAAGCATTCAGTCGTGGCTATCAACTTACACAGCATCAGAAAATCCATACTGGTAAGAAACCTTATGAATGTAAAGTATGTGGAAAGGCTTTCTGTTGGGGTTATCAACTTACTCGACATCAGATATTTCATACTGGCAAGAAACCCTATGAATGTAAGGAATGTGGGAAGAGCTTTAATTGTGGTTCAAGTCTTGTTCAACATGAGAGAATTCATACGGGTGAGAAACCCTATGAATGTAAAGATTGCGGAAAGGCTTTTAGTCGTGGCTATCACCTTACTAAACATCAGAAAACTCATACTGGTGAGAAACCTTTTAAATGTAACAAATGTGAGAAGACCTTCAGTTGGAGTTCAAGCCTTGTTAAACATGAGAGAGCCCATACTGGTGAGAAATCCTATGAATATAAAGAATGTGGGCAGGCCTTTGGTAGTGGGTATCAACTTAGTGTTCATCAGACATTTCATACTAGTGAGAAACCTTATAATGTAAGGAATTTAGGGATATTTACTCATGGCTCGGACCTTGTTCAACATGATAGAAATTATAGTAATGATAAACCCCATGAGTATGAAGAATGGGGAAGTTTTTATATGGTCAACTTATTCAATTGAAACAATAGCTACTGGAGAAGAAATGTGAAAACATTTTTGTGTGTGTGACAACTTAAACAGAGAAATCTTATTCTAGAGAAAACTTATGAATGTGAGGAATGTGCAAAAGCCTTACCTGTGTGTGGAAAATTTGGTTGATATTAGGAAATTTATACTAGTAAGAAATATTTTAAATATAAGGAATATGAAAAGGCCTTTAGACTTCTGCATAATCTTATTGAACATCAATGTATATTAATTTGAAACTATTTAAATGAAAGGAATGTATCTTTATTCATGACATAGAGTCTAATAAGCATTGGAGGATTTATACTTATAAGAAACACTTTAAGAAATGAGGGAAGAACGGAAATTTAATTCAGTTCTTGCTCTGCACATCAGAGAATTAATACTGCTGTGAAATCTTATGATTGTAAGGAATGCAGAAAGGTTTATACACCGAGTGGCCAGGTTATTATGACCACCCCATCAGTACAATGAAGTGAATTAGTTATGCAAATAATAATAATAAACCTTGAGAGTATTTGCTTAGGAAGTTTTCAATATTCAGTATTTTTGGAAGTGTCAATGAAGTACTGATGAAGTGGGCATAATAATCTGGCTGGTCATAATTGGCCACTCAGTGTAGATGTAATAAGCACCTTAGAATACATCAGAGAACTCATCCACACGAGAAACCCTTAGATTAGAATGCAGGAGCACCTTTAGACAAGTGCTACTCAAACTTGTCTAGAGACTAGTACTAGTCCACAAAATTGTTACCTGTGCATCATAAGATAAATGCAGAAAATGAGAGTAACTGTTTGGAAACATTTATAGCAATTTGATACTGCCGTAACATCATTGCATTTTACAAAAGTATCAATTAGCCCATGAATGATTGGAAATTAAAAACAAAAGTTTGCCCTTATCCAGAAATAATTGAGACAACATTCATACTTTTATAAATGTGACACAAGTTACAATATGATTAATTGGAACAAGGGAACAAGAAATCCCTCACTTGTCACCTGATTAGCAGATTATTCATGCTATAGGAAGATTCGGCTAATCTGGAAATCACAACTTCCTTATGCCCATAAAAGCATAGAGAATTTACACCAAGTATGTTCATTTAGTAAATGTATAGAAGGCTTCTAACAGTACTCAGTCTTTGTTAGATTTTATTTTGAATAATAAATATCCATTATTTATGAAATTATTTCTGTGATGTAACACAGATAGGAAGCCCCTTATCCATGGCACAAACCATACTGATTGTCATCACCATTCCACCTCTCACGCCCTTTGGGTTGTTGGACAAAATGTTTATCCCTTTTGGGGATCATCTTTAAAATGCTGGTGATGGTAACTATTTAATAGTACTTTTGTAAAGAGTGGATAGATTTATATGCATCAAATCCTTGGAAGAGTATCTGGTATGTAGCCTATGCTCAATGCACATCAGCTGTTGTTCTTATCCTCCTCATTAGTATTACTACTAGTGAATTCTTAGGAGAGGAATGCTCATTGGCATAATGAATTTAGGAAAGCTTTTCATAACCACTTATGAATTTGAGTTTCAGGTAGTTCATTCTGGATAAAATTCAGTAAAACAAAACCTGAGAGGATTTTTATTCAGAATTTATCCCTTAAGCTTCATAAAACATTAAGACTGAAAATAAATGTGGATTTAGCAAGTGTTAAGCTGGGAATATACTTGAAGAACCAGGGAGAGGTGTGAAACAATTTGCCTGAAATGAATTCCAACAGACAGATAGGCAATAATTATAATTCCTTGTTCACATTTCAAGATAATTTAGAGATTACAAAGGAAAAAAAAATGGCCCATTTGAGAATTCTTTCCCAAAATCTTACGACAATTTTCAGACAAGTTTAAAGAATAGTATAATGAATATACTCTTCTCTACCTAGAATCAATAATTGTTAACATTTGGCCATATTTGCCTTTCTCTCTGAATATATGTGTATGTATATTCATGTAGCATTTGACTTATATATTAAGTCATGATAGTTCATTCCTGAACACATTAGCATGTACCCTTTTAGATTAAGAACAATCTTATTTTAATACCGTGGTTATACAAGAAAATTATCAATAATTCTGTAATACTAGTATTCTTTTCTATTTCATATTTCCCAGTGCTCCCAATAATTTATCCTATTGCTATTTATTTTCTTTTTAAAAAATATATATGTTCTTATTGATTTTTAGAGAGAGGGAAAAGGAGAGAGAGAGATAGAAACATCAATGTGAGAGGAACATCAATTGGTTACCTCCTGCAGCCCCCTACTGGGATGGAGCCCACAACTTGGGCATTACCCTGACCGGGAATTGATCTGGTGACCTTTTGGTGCATGGGTCGACGCCTGGTGCACTGAGCCACACCGCTGGGCACTATTTACTTTCTAACCAGCATCATCTTTATATTCATGCATTGTATTTGGTTGTCATGTCTCTAGATTTTAGTCTTGAACAGACAGGAAAGCTGTTTTATAGAATGAGTACATTCTAGATTTGTTTCTTTCCCCATTAGGAAATAGTGCATTAAGAAAAAAATTGAATCGCAAGACTAAAGTCTCACATTGAAAAATGACCAGGATAAATTTTAGGTTAGTCTATAGGTAGACCCATAATGGTCAAATATTGACTGCGTAAAAGTTGTTGAATAAATTATAGCTGCTTGTGGAAGGACAATTTGGAGATTTTCTTTTCTTTTTCTTTCTTTTTTTAACCATAACTGACATAGTAAGTTCTGAAGATCTGAGTATCACAGCTGATGAGCACAAAGGGACTGAAAGCTGAAAAATAAGCAGCTGGGGATGTGCTGATGTTCACCAGTCATGTAAAGTGATAAGACAGAGGAGAGAGAATAAAAGGAAACAAATTAGCTCACCAGAACCAGGACAGTATGATACTGGTCTTTCAGGAGGCACATGTTATGACTCAATGATGTGGTCAATGGGTGTTTTTATATCTTATTAGTTCTGGGAAATAAAATCAATTAAATTCCTTTACTGTGGTCTAAGATGAATCTGAAGAGGATTTATGCCTTTTATCCACACTGCCCAAAGGAATAGCTCTTTTTTTTAATATATTTTTTAATTACAAGTGACTTACAGTATTGTATTAGCTTTAGGTGTACAACTCAGGAATTATATAACTTACTAAGTGGTCACCCTGATAACTCTAGTACATATATGACATGATCATGTCATATATACATACTTACTACTATAATAGAGGCCCGATGCATGAAAATTTGTGCAAGAATAGGCCTTCCTTCCCCTGGCTGCTGGCACCAGCTTCCCTCCGGCACTGGGGTCCCAGGCTTCCCTCCTCTGGCTGCCGGCAGGCACCTGGCACCCGTGCTGGCTTCCCCCAGGCCACCCACAGGCACCCGGGACCCCAGCTGGCTCCCCCCAGGTCGCCCACAGGCGCAGGTAACCAGGACCCGGGCTGGCTTCCCCCAGGCCACCTGCAGGCACCTGGCACCTGGGCTGGCTTCCCCCTGGGTGCCCACAGGACCCGGGCTGGCTTCCCCCCAGCTCCGGCTTTGTCAGGAAGGACATCTGGTCTAATTAGCATGTTACCCTTTTATTATAGATTATTGACTACTAGAGTAGTCTGTCCTTTTGCCGCCGCTGGGTGCATGAAATTCGTGCACGGGTGTGGTCCCTAGGCCTGGCCTGCAATTGAAACGTGAGCGTCTGGTGTGGAAGGGCAGGTCTCAGCTGACCTCTGGGCCCTGAGCAGCCTCCTGCATGTCCCCTCTGCCTAAGTCACAGCGCCTGAGTCCCCACACACAGATGCAGCGAGTGTGGCTGGACGCCGCGGGCTGGGGCGCAGCATGGGCCTCTGGGCTGCCCAGCGGCACCACACGGAAGCTGGACAGACAGCGCACTCTCTCCCAGTTGGCCTCACAGACTGGTTCCTGCATGAACCCACAGGGAGCCCAACCAGCCCTTGCCATCCAGGCGGCTGTGGCCTGGCTCACCGGGAAGAGGCTGCATGGGTGCAGGGCGGGCTCCTCACAGGTGCCTGGAACCTGAGTGTGGGGGCTTCCCCAGCATGTGAGCCCTGGTGTCCCAGGGAAGGGTAGCAGGGAGAGTAAGAGTGAGCTCGGTGGACACCCCACATTCTCATGGAACCTCCGTCCCCGTCACTACCGCCCTCCAGGTAGCCGGCAAGAGGTCACAGCCCCCACCTGGTGCCACAGGAGATTGGTCGCCTCCACCTACCCCCAGATCCCTGTCCCAGCCCAGGTCCCAAGCCCTAATCAGCCAATCAGGGCCTGCCGGCTGCTGGTCACCATCTGCAGGGGCGATTGGTCGGGGATTGGCCACCCACTTGGCTCCCTCAGCTCCGCACCCCACCTCCGCCACTGGTTGCCATATGCAGGGCGATGAGCAGGGTGATTGGGCCCCCACTCGCACCCACCTTGGCCTGGCACCGCCTGCTTACCTGCTCCACCAACCCACCACGGTCTTGCTCTTGTCAGGGCCCATTGGGGCCAGCAGCACCTCCACTGCCACCCACTGCCAGCATCATGTCGCCGACGCCCACCATGTTCCGCGCCACCCCCTGGTGGTCAGTGCACGTCATAGCGAGCGGTCAAACTCCTGGTCAAACAATTGCATATTAGTCTTTTATTATATAGGATATTTCCTATGCTGTACACTACATCCCTTGACTATTCTTAGTAGTTCTTAGTCCCTTCACCTTTTCACTTACTCCTCCAACCCCACTCATCTGGCAACCATTAAGATTTTCTCTGAGTATTTCTGTTTTGTTTGTTAGTTTATTCTGTTTTTTAGATTCTACATATAAGTAAATCATATGGCATTTGTCTTTCTTTGACTTATTTCAATCAACACATTACCTTCTAGATCCACCATATTGCTGTAGATGGCAAGATTTTATTATTTTTATGGCTGAGTCATATTTCATTGTATATATGCAATAGTTCTTTATCATTCGTCTATTGATGGACACTTAGATTACTTCCATATCTTGGCTACTGTAAATAATGCTGCAATGAACATATGGAAGTATATGTCTTTCTGATTTAGTGTTTTGGGTTTCTTTAAGATAAATACCCATGCCCTAGCTGGTTTGGCTCAGTGGATAGAGCATCAGCCTGCAAACTGAAGGGTCACAGGTTCAGTTCCAGTAAGGGCACATGCCCAGGTTCGGGCTCGATCCCTAGTAGGGGGTGTGCAGGAGGCAGCTGATCAGTGATTCTCATCATTGATGTTTCTATCTCTCCCTCTCTCTGAAATCAATAAAAATATATTAAAAAATAAATACCCAGAAGTGAAAAGGCTGGGTCCTTCTTTGTCTCTTGTTACATAGCCTTTGTTTAAAAGTCTTTTTTGTCTGGTATAAGTATTGCTACCTAGCTTTTGGTTTGTTTCCATTTTCATAAAATACTAGAGGCCCAGTGCATGAAATTCATGCACAGGGGGTGGGGGTCTCTCAGCCTGACCTGCACCCTGTCCATTCCGGGACCCCTGCGGGATTGAGCTTAAACCAGCAGTCAGACATCCCTCTTGCAATCCGGGACCGCTGGCTCCTAACTGCCCTCCCCTGCTGGCCTGGTTGCCCCTAACTGCTCTCCTCTGCTGGCCTGGTCGCCCCTAACCACCTCTGCCTCGGCCCTCGCCACCGTGGCTTTATCCAGAAAGACATCTGGAAGGGTGTCTGGAAGATGTCTGGTCTAATTAGCACATTACCCTTTTATTAGTATAGATATTTTCTGTTCCTTTAATTTCAGTCTGTGTCTTTTGATCTGAAGTGTAGAATGCATGTGTAAGGGTCTCTTGTTATCCATTCAACCTCCATATGTCTTTTGATTGAAGCATTTAACCTATTTCCATTTAAAGTAATTGTTGATAGAAGAGTATTTATTGCTATTCATTAATCATGTGTTTTTTGTCATTGTTCTTAATCCTCACCCAAGGATATTTTTCTGTTGATTTTTAGAGGAAGTGAAAAGGAGAGGGAGAGAGACACAGAAACACTGATGTGAGAGAGACACATCAGTTAGTTGCATCATGCACACACTCTGACCAGGACCAGGGATTGAGCCTGCAACCAAGGTATGTGCCCTTGTCCGGAATTGAACCCAGGACCCTTCAGTTCGAGAGCTCATGCTCTATCCACTGAGCCGAACCAGCTAGGGCTTCTTCATGTTTTTTATCTTTTCTTCTTCTTAAAGAAAACTCTTTGCCCTAGCCAGTTTGGTTCAGTGGCTAGAGCGTCAGCCTGAAGACCGAAGGGTCCTAGGTTTGATTCCAGTCAAGGGCACGTACCTTGGTTGCAGGCTCCTCCCTGGCCTGGGCCCTGGTCAGGGCACATGCAGGAGGCAACCAGTTTATGTGTTTCTCTCCCATCAATATTTCTCTCTGTCTTTCCCTCTCTCTAAAATCAATGGAAAAAATATTTTTGGGTGAGGATTAAAAAAAACACAGACCCATTAACATTTCTTGTATTACTGGTTTGGTGGTGGTGAACACCTTTAGCTTTTTATTTTCTGGGAAGCTCTCTCTATTTGTCCTTCAACTCTGAATGATAGCTTTGCTTGGTAGAATAATCTAGATTATAAGTCCTTGCTTTTCATCACTTTGAATATTTCTTGCCAATCCCTTCCGGCTTGCAAAGTGTCTGTTGAGAAATCAACTGACAGTGTTACGGGAGCTCCCTTGTAAATAACTAACTGCTTTTATATTGCTGCTTTTAAGATTCTCTTGTAAATCCACACCTGAGAATATTTTTTCATTAATATTTTTTAGAGAGAGTGGAAAGGAGGGGGAGAGACACACAAAGAGAAACCTCAGTGTCTCATATCAATTGCTTGCCTCCTGCACACAACCTGACCAGGACCAGGGATTGAGCCTGCAACCCGGGTATGTGCCCTTGACTAGAATCGAACGGGGACGCTTCAGTCTGCAGGCCAATGCTCTGTCCATTGAGCCAAACCAGCTAGGGCAACAATAAAGATTTTTTAAAATAAAAGAATTTGTGGCGGCCTTGGCTCTGTTTTTCAGTGGTGATAGCATTGGCCTGTGAAAGGAAAGGTCATGGGTTTGATTCCAGATCAGAGGTTGTGGACTCCATCTCCAGTGGGGGAGTGCAGGAGGCAACCAATCAATGATTCTCTCTCATCCTTGATATTTCTCTCTCTCTCTCCTCCCTTCCTCTCGAATCAAAAATACATTTAAATACATATATATATAAAATGTTGATTTTTTACAGAGAGGAAGGGAGAGGGATAGAGAATTAGAAACATCAATGAGAGAGAAGCATTGATCAGCTGCCTCCTGCACACCCCCTACGGGGGATGTGCCCGCAGCCAAGGTACATGCCCTTGACTGGAATCGAACCTGGGACCCTTCAGTCCGCAGGCCAACGCTCTATCCACTGAGCCAAACCGGTTAGGGCAATTTAATACTTTTTAAGAAAAGAAAATTGCAGCTGGTGGGAAGCTCGGCCCTAAAGAAGATTCTGGGATGTGTAGTCCAGATGCCTCCTGTAATGAGAGCACTTCCCCTCTTGGAAAGAGCAGACATTTTCCTTAGGGAGGTTTAATAAAGTGTTATGCATGTATGGAGGCATTTGGGTTAACCGAGGGCGAGCTTATGAACCCAGCTTCTTTCAGGGAATTTGAATCAGGCCGCCCTAGCGCCCCCGGGGACGGGGCAGCACCTCCGGTTCCCCGAGCGATGCTGGGAAATGTAGTCCGTGAGCTCCGCGAAGTCGGAGGCACTTCCGCTGCAGAAGGCCGAGCTCGCGGCCTCGGTTTCTCCGGGAGGTGAGTGAGCCCGGGATCCCGCAGCCTCCTTCAGCTTTTCTGACCTAATCCCAGGATCAGCCGCCGGCCCTCGGTCACAGGGAGGAAAAGCTGCGGTCGGAGGCCGAGAGCGGGTTTGAGGGGCGGGGCTGCCGCTTGCCTTCCCCTGGGCCGGGCCCCTGCTTTGGGGGCGTTTCGCGAGTTCCCGCGTTAGGGGCGGACCGGGATCCCGCAGGGGTGAGTATCTCCCTGGCTGCCCCGCCTTTCCCCACCCCTTCCGCACTCTCAAACATTGGATGAGAACTTCAATCTCTCGCGGCCTCAGTTTCCCTTCGATATAGTACGAGCCTTACAAATTTGAGAATTAATGGCATAGTGCAAGTGAAATGTTTTGAACAGCTCAGGCGTCTGTCTGGCAAGGTGTTGCTGTTAATATTAATATTGCAATGATCAGAAAAATAGAGCCCGGAACCCGGGCAAGAACCTGTGACCTCCTGATTCATAGGTTGTCGCTCAACCACATAGCCACGCTGGCTGGCCTATTAATCTCATATTGAAATGGAGAATTGGGCACAGACAATTGAATGAATGACCTGGAGGCACAGTCAGCAGGGGAAAGAGCCAAGATCAAACCTCAGCAGCTGGGCTTGAAACGTAGCTCTAGGGCTCTCTGCACAGTAACTGGGCAAGTTACTAACTTCTCTGTCTCTCCATTTTCTTACCTGTCAAGTAGGGGCAATACCAATAGCTGCCTCCTGAAGTTCTTGTGAAGATTAAGTGAGAGCTAATATGTAAAGTGTTTGAAATAGTGCCTGGCACGTAGTGAATCCTCCGTGTATTACAGACTAGCTGTTGTCCTTTGTCTATCACAGATGAGTATTCAGCATGAAAGATGTAGCAAATCAATGAAAAGGAAAAAAGATGTTTGAAGGTATTCTTTTCTCCCCCACCTTCTGCTCTGATACTTCAATTCAGTCATACAGTGGGACAAAAATCAAAAGCTTCTGTAATAACCATTGTTTAAACCTAAAACTAATTTGCTGTCTTTTGAACTTAGGGAGTCCCTGGGTGATGATTATGCAACCTCTGCAGCCTTTAAAAGGTGTTCGTCTGCACTATCAATCTAGTAGCCATTAGCCACCTGTGGCTATTGAGCACTGGAATGGTGGCTAGTGCTAATTAAGGCACACAACGGATTTTAAAGACTTAGTATGAAAACAGAATGTAAACTATCTCAATTTTTATATTGATTATAAGTTGAAATGGTAATACTTTAGATATATTGGGTTAAATAAAATGTATTGTTAAAATTAGGCTGACTTCTTTTTATCGAATTTATTGAATTTGTTGGTTAATAAAATTATGTAGGTTTCAGGTGTACAATTCTATAGTACATCATCTGTATATTGTACTGTGTTCACCACCCTAAGTCAATGTGTCTACTAGAAACATTTAGTTATATATTTAAATATATTTTTATTGATTTCAGAGAGGAAGGGAAAGGAGAGAGAGATAGAAACATCAATGATGAGAATCATTGATCGGCTGCCTCCTGCATGCCCCCTACTGGGCATTGAGCCTGAAACCTTGACCAGAATCAAACCCAGCACCCTTCGGTCTACAGGCCAACACACTATCCGCTAAGCCAAACAAGCTAGGGCCTGTAAATGACAGCTCCTTTAACTTTTATTGGGAGTATTTTGTGAATGGCCCAGGTTGCCTTGTGGGTAAAATTAGGGGGTTAGAGTTGATTTTGGCACTCCCTCTGATCCTAACAAACCTTGATTCTAATCCTGCTTGTTAGGATCAGAGGGAAAGAAGTTTGTAATGTGTGTTTCCCTTCGTTAATTTTATTGTCTTTGGGCAATAGGGCAGGCTGTTGGGGTCAGAAGAAAAGTTGGAGGTGAAGAGGTCAAAGTCTCTCTGCGAGTATCTAGAGCAGTGATGGCGAACCTATGACACGTGTCAGAGGTGACACGCAAACTTATTTTTTTGGTTGATTTTTCCTTGTTAAATGGCATTTAAATATATAAAATAAATATCAAAAATGTAAGTCTTTGTTTTACTATGGTTACAAATATCAAAAATTTTCTATATGTGACATGGCACCAGAGTTAAGTTAGGGTTTTTCAAAATGCTGACACGCCGAGCTCAAAAGGTTCACCATCACTGATATAGAGGTCCGGTTTTGATTGATTTTACTCCAAGTGTGATCCAGACATCAGCAGCAGCAACATCACCTGGGCTAGTTTTAGAACTGTAGATTCTGAGTCCCCATCCTTGACCTTCAGGTTTAGAATTGTTGGGGGTGAGACTGTGGGCAGCTGTATCTTCATGGGTCTCCAGGCACATGGGCCATTATAATTTGAGAAGTATTGGTAGAAAGGACAGACTTTTCACTTTTCACAAAAATATTGGCTGTTTCCCTCTGGCCAAATTACACCTTCAGATGTCAGATATCAGGATGGCTCTTTCCCCCCAGGTTGAGGTCTCTGCTGAAATGGAAGAGAAGCGTTCCATGACAAAAACTTATTCCGTAACAGCCCCTCCTTACCCCTCCCACCCAGCCTTATTGTTCTTCAAAGCATCTCTCCCTGCATTATTGGATTTTTATTATCCTGGTACCCCATTATACTATCAGCTCCAGGAGATCAAGGTCTTTGCCTGCTTTGAATTTTGAAGGAAATGATTCTTTAGTTTTAGACGTTATTTCAAACATTTACAATTTTTACTTTCAATGCAAAATAACTGATAAAAAGGAAAAAAAAAAAACATTGCAAAACATATCATACTAATAACCCTTTGCTGCATAACAGACACCAGCCTTTGGTATTTTCTTCAGGTAATTAGGTAGGAAACAAACACAAACATCTTAAGACTGCTATTTCTCTCCAGAAGAAACAAAGTTGAGGTATTCTATTTAACAGATGTGTGACCTCCAGCCAAACATGGTTCCTCCATGAATGAACAGCCTTGCTCTATGCTGTTCCAGTCCTTTCCTTCTAAAGCAGATCTTCGTTGGAGCCCATGTTCACTCATAAAACTGGCGATGTTCGTAAATACGGAACGCTACATGAATTTGAGTGTCACCCTTGGGCAGGGGCCATGCTGATCCTCTCTGTAATATATCGATTTTAGTTTATGTGCTGCCGAAGTGAGCACGGAAGGGATTCTTGATGTGCGGGCTCCTAACAGTCTCCCTGGCCCCAGCCTCTTCCCCCTCAGACCTCCTCCTGTCTGCTGATCTGTTTCCAACAGGAAAGGAATCTTACTCCCCTTCCTCAGGGCCCTTGCTGCTTTCCTGCTGACCTGTGGCTATCGCTGGGACGTTCACATCACCCTGGTTTGAACCCTACGTTCCTGCCATCTTTTTCTGCCTCCTGTTTGTCCTCACATTGTCGCATTTGTTCTCTTGCAGTTTTCAGGGGTTCTATTTCTCTTTGGCTAATAGAGCTCGGTCATCCCCAGGGCTCAGATCAAGCCCCCTGTACGTAGAACCCCCTCCAGTTAAGTGTGGGCCTCAAGGCCCGGACCCTGTGCTTCCGGAGGACCCTGGTCACTACTCTGCTACTTGCCATGTGTAGCATAAGTGCTGGTTTCCTCACCACTAGGCTGTGAGCAAGTGGAGACCGGGTAACTATATCCTCTTAATAAGGTTTCCACAAGTGTTTGTTGAGTTAACAAACATATTTATTTAATGAAGAATTATGCAGGCAGTGAAATACTTGTTCTCGGTATTTTGAGGGACACATTCTGTGGATTCCATGTAGGCACTGACTCTGAAGAACAGAAAGCACCTCCCTAAAATGGCATTTTTAAAAATCCAGAGGCTCTTTTCCTTCCAAAGATGACCTCGATCTGGCCCGAGGACAGCAAATACTGTGAAAGACCTAGAACAGCGGTCGCCAACCGGTGGTCCGTGAGGTCCGAAAGGTTGGCGACCGCTGACCTAGAGGATAACCTTTGAAAAAGAACCCCTGCTCTCCAAATCCTCCCAGCTGGGATCAGCCTCAGTTCTACAGCTCAGTCCTTGGACCATTTAACCTAGCCTCTCCGTGTGCCTCTGCCTGATGACAGGCGCTGACACTGGCTGAGTGTCTGCCTAGCAGTTACTGTCACAGGTGCTGTTTCAGGTGCTTGGGACCTGACGGCCGAGTAAGCAATCACAAGGGAGAGGGTTGATCTACTAATTACCTCCCACCCCACAAGGTAATGGAAAGGTCTCCCTGCAAAGCACTCTTGCTGAGCAGAAGTCACCAGGCAAATAGAGGCCAGAGCAAAGGGGGTTACAAAGTCCAAGGGCATTTCTTCCGAGATGGGAAAGGTTCACGTTCCCCTTACCATATCAGGGTTCTGCTGTCTGAAATCAGATGGCTAGTAATGATTAACTAATAAATACTTAAACAGTGATTAACTAATGATGATCTCTTAACCTGGGCGTTTTACCCTCAATCTCCACCCCCACGCCCCTCGAATCAGATTCTCGCTGAGAGCTACAGGAGAACTTGTATTAGGGCCCCGGGTGTGGTTGGGCGGGACACTCACTGTGCAGGGCTCCGGGAGGAAGGGCTGGGTGGTGTCTGCTCATCGGGCTGTGTGTGCGGCTGCAGCCACCCGGGAAGGGGCTCCCTGACTCCTTCCTGTAAAGCAGCCATGTGGGTAACTTCCATTGACTGTTTAAGCTGCCGGACACAGTTCCAAATGTCCTATGTGTAGTCACTCAGACTGACGAACCTTCCTATGCGGTTTTGCAGGGCGGTGGTTATTATTGTCATTACCCCCAATACTCATTGAGGTGACATTGGTTAATAAAATGTAGGTCTCGGGTGTACAATTCTACAGTACATCATCTGTATAGTGTACTGTGTGTTCACCACCCTAAGTCAGTATGTTTACTAAACATTTAAATGACACAGGTAGTTGTGTTTTATTTCCGTTGGGACAGCCCTGGTCTAAGTGGGAGCCTCCCTTTCCACTCTGAGGATTTGCCTCCAGGGGCACGTGTAAGTCACTGTTGCCTATTGAAGCACATTGTTCTAGTACCGAGTGCTAGCAAGTTGGAGATGCCAGTATTCGCACACCTGTGGTCTGACTCCAGAGCCTACACCCTTCACAACTCTGTTCTCTTCTCCCTCAGGCAGCTTCTTTGGCTGCAGGTCCTCTCCTGTTTCTGTCTGACCTTTATCCCAAGCTCTCAAGCCCTCACGTCTCTTCCCGTGAGCCCTTAAACTCCCATCTGCTTAATTTTATCTTTAGGAGCAACCAAGAGGCAAGATCTAGAAAACTGGCTCTGATGTGAGATCTGGATTCAGGGCCCGCCGGCCTCTTGACCTCACTGCGCCTCAGCTTCCTTATCTGTGACATGAGAACAGCGGTCGTCGTCACTGACTGAGAACTTCCTACAGTGCCAGGTGCTGTGCCACGGGCATTGCATGGATTAGCTCCTCCATTCCCCACAGCAATCCTGTGCCTAACGTTCCGTTCTCTCCTTCTTACAGCTGAGAATAGGCACAGAGGGGTCCGCGATTGGAGCCAGGGCACACGACTGGTGCAGCAGTAGGTTCTTCACAGGTACCTTGATGAAACAATGCATGCCGGATGCTTCTCAAGGCCCCTGCCATGTGCTTGGTGCTTATTTCATGTTAAATATTGCCATTTTTATTGTTTTTATCATTACTCTGATCACCGTAGCTTGTTCATTTAAATGACATGTTTTTTTTTTTAAAGAAAGTTTTTCTTTTCTTTTTTTTCAAATATATGTTATTGATTTTTTGCAGAGAGGACGGGAAAGGGATAGAGAGTCAGAAACATCGATGAGAGAGAAACATCGATCAGCTGCCTCCTGCACACCCCCCACTGGGGATGTGCCCGCAACCAAGGTACATGCCCCTGACTGGAACCGAACCCAGGACCCTTCAGTCTGCAGGCCGACGCTCTATCCACTGAGCCAAACCAGTCAGGCATAAATGACATATTGATCACCAGGCTTATGGTTAAATAAATCCTGCAGCATCACAGGTTTTTAATTTCTCTTCACCTCCATGATAGTTTTTTTAAGACCCTGCTGTTAACAAAGTAAATTTGGAAAGGACTTAATAGCTTATTTTTTTAAATCCACACCCAAGGATGTTGTTTTTAGGTTTTTTTATTTTCAGGGTGTTTTTATTATTATTATTATTATTATTATTATTATTTTAGAGAGAGGGAGAGAGAAAGAGAGAAACATTGATGTGAGAGAGAAACATTGATCTTTTTACTCCCGTATGTGCCACTACCTGGGATCAAACTCACAACCTTTTGGTGTACAGGACGATGATCTAACCAACTGAGCCACACCTGCCAGTGCAGGACTTATTAGCTTTAAAAAAAGTCATCTGGCCCTGGCCAGTTTGGCTCAGTGGATAGAGCGTCGGCCTGTGGACTGGGGGGTCCCGGGTTCGGTTCCGGTCAAGGGCATGTACCTGGGTTGAGTGCACATCCCTGGTGGGGGATGTGCAGGAGGCGGCTGGTCGATGTTTCTCTCTCATCGATGTTTCTAACTCTATCCCTCTCCCTTCCTCTCTGTAAAAAATCAATAAAATATATTTAAAAAAAAAATTTTTTTAAGTCATCTGTATAGTCAGATTCATAGAGGAAGAGTAGTGTTTATTAGGGGCTGAGGGGAGGAGGGATGGGGAGTTAATTGTTTAATGGGTACAGAGTTTCAGTTTGGGATGGTGAACAATTCCTGCAGATGGATGGTGGTGATGGTTGCACAACAATATGAAAGCACTTAATGAACTATATACCCCAAATGGTTAAATAGTAAATTTTCTTATGTATACTTTATACAGGAAGAAATTGTCTACTCTTAAATATTTTTGCAAAGGCCTCAAATTAAGTATGCGAAAGCAAGAAAGAATACGTATTTCAGAGGTCATGTGGAGGTCACATGCCAGAACAGCCTCCTCTGAAGGCTCCACTGACAGGAACCAGTTATGAGACTGGTTTTATGTTACTTGCTTCTCTTTTTTTCTTCTTCCTTTTTTTTAATATATGTGCAAATATATATTTTATTTTTTATTATTTTTAAAATATATATTCTATTGATTTCAGAGAGGAAGGTAGAAGGATAGAGGGATAAAAACATCAATGATGAGAGTGAACCATCGACCGGCCGCCTCCTGCACACCCCACACTGGGGATCGAGCCCGCAGCCTAGGCAAGTGCCCTGACTGGGAATCGAACCGCGACCTCCCAGTTCATAGGTCACCGCTCAACCACTGAGCCATGCCAGCCGGGCATGTGTTACTTGCTTTTCTGCTGCTACTAGTACGGTGCCCTGAAAGTGTTCGCTGAGCTTCCTGCCTACCACTTGATTCTTACCACAATCCTATGCGATAGGCACTGTTAATTCCTCCGTTTTACAGAAGAGAGAATTAAGGCATGAAGATATTAATAATTTGCTCAAGTAGCAGTGTCATTTGGCCCCAGAGACTACTCCCTTAACCTGTGTCCTCTACCCTCAGTGTCCACTCCCCCAGAACTAGAATCGTCCCCTGAGGGCTGCATGAACTTGCATTAGGGCCTCCGTCTGTGGTTGGGCAGGTGGCTCACTCTGCGGGGGCTCTTGGCTGAAGGTGTCTGGAACACAGTCTGCACTCTGCTCATCTGAGCCAGGCACCAGGCTCAGTGGGTGTGTGTTCACAGGGTGGGTGAGGGGTTCACATAACGCAGTCATAGGGGTTAGTGACACCCTTGGCCAGAATCTAATGCTTTTTTCCTTCTTCCCCCTTGTGCCTTCCCAAAACTCAGCCCTTCCCGAGAAGGAGGAGGACAAAATGGCCAAGTTCAAGGTGAGTTGGGCTTGCCTGTCTAGGTTTTAAATTTTCATCTCTTTCTCAATGACTAGACACATCTTGTTTCTTTTTCTTGGAAGGATTAAAGAGAACAGTAGGCATTCAGGGCCCTTGTATGTGTCAGATGATCACTACTTTTTATTTTAGTGTAGGTTAATTTCTACTAGAGAGAGAGAGAAACATTGATGTGAGAGAGGAACGTCGACGGGTTGCCTCCATATATGCCCTGACCTGGGATTGAACCCGCAACCTAGGTATGTGCCCTGACTGAAAATCGAACCCTCAACCTTTTGGTGTATGGGATGACACTATAACCCACTGAGCCACCTGGCCAGGACTCATCCAACTGATGCAAAAAGACTCCTAAATTTTACTTGGATAAAGACAGAGAGACAAGGGAAAAAAATTCCCCAGTCAGAGACTTAGCCCTTTGTGTGTGGTGCCTGGTTATGCTGGTGGGTAGAAAACACCTCAAATAGCCCTAACAGGTTTGGCTCAGTGGATAGAGCGTCGGCCTGCGGACTGAAGGGTCCCAGGTTCGATTCCGATCAAGGGCACATACCCAAGTAGGAGGTGTGCAGGAGGCAGCTGATCGATGTTTCTCTCTCATTGATGTTTCTCTCTATCCCTCTCCCCTCCTCTCTGTAAAAAATCAATAAAATATATTTTTTAAAAAAAGAAAAAAGAAAACACCTCAAATACTGCCTCTCCCTGCTCACTCTTCAGTGGCCCCATCTTCTCCATGATTTCTGTTGCACCTGGATGTGCTGCAGTCCAGTGACGAACAGTTTCCATATAAAAAATTAAGACAAAACTGTGTACCAGTGATTCTTAATCAGGGGCAATGTTGCCTCCAGTGAACACCTGGACACATTTTGGTGTCATAACTTGAGGACGGCTCCTGGTATCTCGCGTGTAGAAGGTAAGGATTCTGCTAACCATCCTACAACGCACAGGACAGCCCCACAATGAAGAGTGGTTATCTGGCCAAGTACGTCAGTAGAGCCAAGGATGAAAAATCATGCTGTATTCAAAGCTGTACCAGACTAATAGTACAATGTGGGTGGCAATATTAATAAGCCATACGATAAAGAAACAAAACTTAAAATCTCCAGTAGAAATTTTACAGTCATAAGATAAAAAATCCCAATCAGAGTCTGAGCAAAGGTACTAAAGAAAAAGTAAAGATGACCAGTAAATATATGAAAATATGATGCACTTATTAATTATCATATAATGCAAATAACCAAAATAAATTGTATTTTACTGATCAGATTACCAATGATTTTAGCACATTTGTTGGCCCCGACCAGGTAGTTCAGTTGGTTAGAGCATTGTCCTGATATGCCAAGGGTGTGGGTTTGATTCCTGGTCAAGGCACCAACAAGACTCAACCAGTGGGGTGCAGGGTGGGGGCCCGAGGTGGAGCTGACCCGCGGCCGGGAAGACCCTGGCTGAATTGTGGACCGACCACGAAGCCCTTCCCTGCTCGCTGGAAACCCTGAACTCCATGCCCCCAAGCCCTGGCCCCCCTGTGGGAATGTTCAAAAATGAGTATGGGGGGGCAGTGGGGGGTTAAGGACACATGTAATACCTTAATCAATAAAGAAAGAAAATAAAGTAAATTTAAAAAAATTAAAAAATGAGTATCAGGGAGGCGCATTTGTTGAAATCTTTAGTGCTCAGGGAAAAAATCCTGGAGCGGAGCGGAAGGTCTTGGAAGCCCGTCTGTGCTTTGGAAAGTGTTTGATGAAGAAGTGAGCAGGTTTGTGTTTGTCCTGGAAGGCAGCAGCCAGACACACAATTCAGTTACCGAAGGAGAATAAGCAAACCCAGAGGTTTCTTGTACTTCAGATTTACATACCCCTGGGACAGACTTCTCCACTGAATTGCTGTAAAATACACAGAACTGCTTTCAATGCTGCCCCTCTCCCGTGAGCCTGGTTATGGGACTGAGGTCATCTGTGTGCGGTGGTGTTGTAGGAGGCGGTGACGTTCCAGGACGTGGCTGTGGTCTTCACGGAGGAGGAGCTGGCGCTGCTGGACCCGTCCCAGAGGAAGCTGTACCGGGACGTGATGCTGGAGAACTTCCGGAACCTGGTCTCAGTGGGTGAGGACGGCGCTCGGTGACTGAACTTGAGCCCCCTGCGCTGTTTGTGTCCTTTGATGTGTGGGGCTTTGGAGCTCTGTAGCTGGTTGTCAGTTTTCTTTTTTAAAAGTGTTTTTAAAAAATATATTTTTATTGATTTCAGAGAGGAAGGGAGCGTGAGAGAGAGATAGAAACATCAGTGATGAGAGAGAATCATTGATCGGCTGCCTCCTACATGTCCCCCACTGGGCATCGAGCCTGCAACCTGGGCATGTGCCCTCGACCAGAATCGACCCTGGGACCCTTCAGTCCGCAGGCCAATGCTCTATTCACTGAGCCAAACTGGCTAAGGTGCTAGTTTTCTAAGCAGCGTGAGACACAGCAATGGCATCTTTCTGGTCTTCCTCCCCCAGCTAAAGTGTGTTTTGTAAGTGAGGTATAAATTGGCAGTGTGACTGTTAACATGTTTTTGGCCTTTCTCAAATTGTGATCACGTCCAATTAGTGGGTCATGACACCCATCTAGGAAATTGAACCAGCACTTTTGTTAATCCGAGGATATTTTTCCATTGATTTTTAGAGAGAGTAGAAGTGAGGGGAGAGACAGAGAGAGAGAAACATCGATGTGAGAGATAGACATCAATTGATTGCCTCCCACACTCGCCCAGACCAGGGCTGGGGATCCATCCAGCAACTGAAGTGCGTGCCCTTATCCGGAATCATTCAGTCCCAGGGCCGACGCTCTATCCACTGAGCCAAACTGGCTAGGGCTGAACCAGCACTTGTTAGTGAAATAAAATGGGGTAGAAAATAGCAGAGCCCCCGGCAGTCACTGCACACGGCAGTGAGATCTGCAGCCTGTGCCGAATGGGGTGAGGAATGGTGGAGAGGGTGTGATGAAGATAGACTTTTTTTTACATTTTAACTGTTTTATAGAGATGTCGTTTACATACACATACCCTACGTATCATACAGTCCACCCATTTACAGTATATAGTTCAGCAGTTTTTAGTATATTCAAAAATTAACGTTTTCCCCTCAGTAGTTTATACTTAACGTCTACATGTCCTGGGGTTTTTGCATAAAATGCATTTTCTCTGGCAGGCCATAATTAACAGTTTGGAAAACATGAATTTTGACGATCTGAAGGTGATACAGTGAGAAGTCACATTTTTTACTAATCGTGGCCTTTAATGTATTAATTGTAAATGTTCGTCCCTTGCCTTTTCACAGGGCATCTGTCCTTCACAGCAGGTGTTAGCCCCCGGTTAGAGAGAGAAGAAAAGCTTTGCATGGTGAGGACAGTGGCCCAGAGCCATAGCCCCTCAGGTGAGAGCCGTGGGACTCAGCCTGCCCTGCTTCTATTTTTTTTTTTTAAGCACAGAATACGTTTGTATTGGGGGCAGTATTATGTTTTTAAAGGTGACAAAACACTCACACTCCCAAGGAGCCAAATTAACATTAGTAGGTAAATTCAAGCTAAGGGTCACACCACACCAACTGGAAACAGCCTGGGTTTAAACTCTGCCCTGCTTCTATTTTAAAAATATATTTTTATCCATTTCAGAGAGGAAGGGAGAGTGAGAGAGAGATAGACACATCAAACATCAATGATGAGAGAGAATCATTGATCGGTTGCCTCCTGCACGCCCCCTACTGGGGATCGAGCCCACAACTCGGGCCTGTGCTCTTGACCACAGTTGAATCTGGGGCCCTTCAGTCCGAAGGCCGATGGTTCTATCCACTGAGCCAAACCGGCTAGGGCTGTCCTGCTTCTTGTCACCTCCACCAGTGAGACGCTGGTCTGAGCCACCTGTCGCCTCCACCACCGTGGTGCTGGTCTGAGTCAGGGCCTCGTCTGTGGATCCCTGCAGCAGTCTGTGTGGCTCTCACTCTCCTGTTTTGCCCTTTTACAATGAATTCTCTACTCCAAGTGATTTTATGAGTGTTTGTCAGATCTTGTCGGCCCTCTGCTCAAAATCTCTACTAGCTTCTTCTCTGATTCAAAGTAAAATCCAGGTACTTAAAGTGGCTTATAGTGTCCCACATGGCTCTGTCTCCCCCCCCTCCCCCCCCCCCCGCCATCCCTCTATAAACGTGACCTGTCACTGTCCCCTTGGTCATCTGCTCCATCCGGTTTGGGCTCTTTGCTGTGCCAAGCGTGCTCCCGCCTCGTCACCCTCTTCCTGTTCTTTCTGTCAGGAGCACTGTTTCCCTCGTCATTCTCCCAGCCCCTCCCTTACCTCACATAGGGCTTTCCCCAAATGTTAACCTCATAAGAGAGGCCTCCGCGACCCCTCTGTGCACAATACCTTCTGCCTCCACTCCCTTCCCCTACCCTGTCTTAGTTGGTGTCTGAGCACTTACCTTATTAACATATATTTTTATTTATCGTACTGTAGTCCATTGGAATACAGTCTCAGGAGCAGAGAAATTCTGTTTTCTTTATTGCTTTATCCTCACTATAGAGAGCAGAGTTAGAAGAAGGCAGGTGTGCTATAAATATTTATCAAATATATCAAATATACGAATGAGTGAATGATGGTTAATAGACCATTTTCCATTCATCTCTGAGATCCTTAAAGTGTGGTAATAAAAAATGTGTGCCCAGCCCTAACTGTTTTGGCTCAGTGGATAGAGCGTCGGCCTGCGGACTGAAGGGTCCTGGGTTCGATTCCAGTCAAGGGCATGTACCTTGGTTGCGGGCTCATCCCCAGTAGGGGGTGTGCAGGAGGCAGCTGATCGATGTGTCTCTCTCATCGATGTTTCTAGCTCTCTATCCCTTTCCCTTCCTCTCTGTGAAAAAAATCAATAAAATACATTAAAAAAAAAAATGTGTGCCCTGGCCAGTGTGGCTTATGGTTGGAATGTCATCCATGCACCGAAGGGTCATGGGCTCGATCCCCGGCCAGGGAACATACCCGGTTGTGGGTTCGAACCACGGAGGCAACTAATCAATATTTCTCTTTCACATCGATGTTTTTCTCTTTCTCTCCCCCTCTCCCTAAAAAAATTAAACAAAAACATATCCTCGGGTGAGGGTTTTAAAAAAAACAACTGTGATGAAGGTATAGTCTAGAACAGTTTTTCCCCTTGACAGGTGTCTAATTTTATTAGGTGCTTTTGGGTATAGATAGAAAAGCTTAGCTTTTCGTTTGTAACCAACTTGATTATCATTTTCCCCCTGTGGTTTTCCTGCAGCCTTTAGTAGTGAATCATACTGTCTTGGTTAAGAACTGCTTTTTCGAATGAAGATTCTTAATAGCCATTTTATACAGAGATGCCTTTACTGCTTACAAAGCACCTCTGATATTTTCCTATTTTGTTAATTTTCATCAAAAGCTACTAAATTCCTTTCAAGTTCACTACCTCCTGCCTTCAGCTTGAAAACCATTGGTGTGGTCTATATGGAAAATGTATCTCTACCCATCATTTTGAGAGTCTACTTTCACAGACATTATTCCTGGGGCTCTAAATATTGACTCCTACTTGAAAAAGGAAATATTTTGCACACACAGAAAGCAAATACGTACAAAAATCAAAGAAAGCCAACAGTCCATAGGCCCCATGGCCACTTTTATCCTTGATGATTCTAGATCTAGGGAGAGAGGAAGGAAAAGGGAGAGAGAGAGAAACATCCATGCGAGAAACATCAATTGGTTGCCTCCTGTATGTGCCCCAACCAGGGATGGGACCTGCAACCTGGGTATGTGCCCTCACCCAGAATTGAACCTGAGTCCCTTTATGCACGGGATGCTGCTCTAATCACTGAGCAACACTGGCCTGGGCGAGAGAGTGATGTATATTTTTACTGTAAACCTTTACCCACCCCACCCCCGATGTCCTCCTGAAGGATATTTCCCAGCAGGAGGTGAAGGACACTCTCTGCTTACGCTCTGAACTTCAGACACGTGGATGTATAAGGATTTTTCTCCCACACGTGTCTTTCCAACCAGCTCAGCGTCTCAAAGGCTCTGAACATTGGAGTAAACTTCCAATAAAATAATTCAAAGCAAAGGCTTTCAACGCTGCCTGGGGACATCCTCTGCTAATGTGTCTGGAAGGGTTTCCCTAGACATTCTGAGCATTTTGGTCGATGTGCATACAGTAGGCAGAAGAGAAGGCTTTTAGTAAGGTGCAGCTTCATCATCAAAGTATTTTTCTTTTTTCCAAAACATATTTGTAAAAAACGGTGTTTGTTGTGCTCTGTATAAACCTTTTATACTAAATAAATAGCAAACTACATTCTTCGCAAAGATGTGACTAGTGTTCCTGAGGCCTCTTCCATATGTATCATGCACAGTGAAACCGTTTTGCAAAAGCAGTGACTTAAGCAGCCAACCCTAATGGTTCATTAAAGCATTTCCCTTTTTTTTAGCTAAAAATCATAGGGTTCTTTCTGCTTTTGTGTAAAGTTTGTATAGCTAGCCATGTAAAATACGGACACCTTTTAAAAAACAGAAGTGAAGTAGAAACTCAAAATCCTTTTGATTCAGTTCTTTTATGTTTCATAAAAAGAGAGGGGGAGCCCTAACCGGTTTGGCTCAGCGGATAGAGCGTCGGCCTGCGGACTCAAGGGTCCCAGGTTCGATTCCGGTCAGGGGCATGTGCCTTGGTTGCGGGCACATCCCCAGTAGGGGGCGTGCAAGAGGCAGCTGATCGATGTTTCTCTCTCATTGATGTTTCTAACTCTCTATCCCTCTCCTCTCCTCTCTGTAAAAAATCAATAAAATATATTTTAAAAAAAAGGGGGGGGGGAAATAATGCAAGACCCAGAATTTTGGAGTGGTTGGTGTGCGTCCCTTCTTTTTACTTTTTGACTAGCTGCCTGTGTGCCCGTTGATGGTGTAGCTGAGCTGTTTGTGCTGCCACCGCTGCCCAGATCCATGTGATGCCGCAGGGACCACAACCGCAGCTGCCCGGGGCTGCATAAAGCTGCCTACTCCAGCGAGGTTGATAACAGCAGCATGCCGAGCAGACACGGCCTGTTCTGGACCCACAGAGTTTTGTTCAGAGCCCTGCTCCCCTGGCTGCTGCAGACTAGAAGTTGTAGGTTGCTGGGGTGGTTGAGTTTCGAGGAAGTATTTTTCTTGCTCTGCAGCCACCACATTTCTAACTTGTGGCTCACTTTTGAAACCTAGTACAATGCCTAAATGTGTCTTGTTAGTGAGTAGTGAATGGGAGCCTGGTGGACCATCTCTTGGTTCCCAGAGTCATGTAAATCAGAGAACATGATTCATGATAATAAAAATGGAGCTTTCTCCTGGTTCCATAAAGCCTCAGGGTGTCGGCCTACGTGTATGTATAACCTTGACATTTCTGAACAAAAGCATCCACATGCCCATCTCCAAATTCTCTTTATTCTTTTAGGAGACAAGAGTCTACGTAACATGGAGGTTATTCAAGAAATTGGATTAAGGGACCTGGCCCATGAAGAGTTTTTCTACTCACAAATCTGGCAACAGGTTACCAAGGGTTTAACCAGATGTCAAGATTCCACAGTAAACATTCAAGGAACTGGCTCTCTGTTGGAAAAACAAGGTGATGCGCTCTATAAATATGAGGAATTCGGTAAGGGCTTTAATCAGAGTTCGCATCTTCAGGTTCACCACAGAGTCCATAATGGAGAAAAACGCCACAAAGGAGAGATGTGCGAGAAAGGTGTTATTCAGGACTCTTGTCCTCAAATTAATAAGATGGCCCATGCAGGAGAGAAGCCCTGTAAATGTGAGAAATGTGAAAATGCCTTCCACCGGGTTTCAAGTCTTCAAGCCCATCAGAGGGTCCACAGTAGAGGGAAACCGTACACATATGATACATCATGTAAGAATTTTAGTCAGAGGTCATATCTTCCTCATCATCAGAGAGTTCTTACAGGAGAAAATCCACACAAATTTGAGGAATGTGGGAGAAATGTTAAGCAAAGCTCACATTGTCAAACTTCTCTGATAACCCACACATCAGAGAAACCCTATAAATGCGAGGAGTGTGGGGTGGGCTTCAGTCAGAGCGCACATCTTCGAGCCCATCAGAGAGTTCACATGGGAGAGAAACCTTACCAATGCGAAAAGTGTGGGAAGGGCTTCCGTTGGCATTCACGACTGCAGGCTCACCAGCGAATGCACACAGGTGAGAAGCCATACAAATGCGATGCATGTGGCAAGGGTTTTAAGCATAGCTCACACCTTAACATTCATTGTAGAATCCACACAGGAGAGAAACCCTATAAATGTGAGGAGTGTGGGAAAGGCTTCAGTGCAGGCTCACACCTTCAAGTCCATCAGAGAGTCCACACTGGAGAGAAACCATACAAATGTGAGAGGTGTGGGAAGGGCTTCGGTCAGGCCTCAAATCTTCTGGACCATCAAAAAGGCCACACTGGTGAGAAACCCTATCAATGTGATGCCTGTGGGAAAGGCTTCAGTCGGAGGTCAGAACTGAAGGCCCACTGTAGAATCCACACAGGAGAGAAACCATACAAATGTGAGATGTGTGGGAAGGGCTTCAGTCAGCCCTCAAATCTTCTGTCCCATCAAAGAGGCCACACTGGAGAAAAACCATACAAATGCGGTACATGTGGGAAGGGCTTCAGTCGGAGTTCAGAACTGAAGGTTCACTGTAGAATCCACACAGGAGAGAAACCCTATAAATGTGAGAAGTGTGGGAAGGCCTTCAGTCAGTCTTCAAGTCTTCATGTGCATCATCAAAGAGTCCACACGGGAGAGAAACCGTATCAGTGTGCCGAGTGTGGGAAGGGCTTCAGTGTAAGGTCACAGCTTCATCTCCATCAGAAGGTCCACACTGGAGAGAAACCATATAAATGTGAGAGGTGTGGGAAGGTCTTTAGTAGGAGCTCATACCTTCAAGCCCATCAGAGAGTCCACACTGGAGAAAAGCCGTACAAATGTGAGGAGTGTGGGAAGGTATTCAGTTGGAGCTCAAGTCTTACAAAACATCAGCGAGTTCATGTTGGCGATGAGGGTGATAAAGACTTTCCCTCATCAGAGAACTCATACAGGAAAGAAGCTCGGTAAAATTACATGTTTTCATACCTCAGAATGGGTGCTAAAATAGTCCAATGATCAGCCCTGTTACAGAAAGCAAACATTCGTTTGAAAGAGTGAGTACTTCAGCCAGAGCTCAGCATGTCACAGTGGTTGGGTGACCACATCAGAGAAGCCTTGTGAGAGTGGAGACATAAGGACTTTACGCAGAACCTTGACAGTTAGTAAATATTAAAAAGAAGAGAGGCTTAGGATGGGTCTGATCTGAAGTTAACAAAGAACACTAAGATGAAATGCTAGAAACTCCCCTAGCATGGGTGGGGAACATCCGCCTGTGGGCTGGATAAGGCCCACAAAATCTTTTGGTCTGGCCCTGTTTGACCAAAAATAGCAGGCTAATTTTTTTTTTAAATATATTTTATTGATTTTTTTACAGAGAGGAAGGGAGAGGGATAGAGAGTTAGAAACATCGATGAGAGAGAAACATCGATGAGAGAGAAACATCGATCAGCTGCCTCCTGCACATCTCCCACTGGGGATGTGCCCGCAACCCAGGTACATGCCCTTGACCGGAATCAAACCCGGGACCTTTCAGTCCGCAGGCCGACGCTCTATCCACTGAGCCAAACCGGTTTCGGCTAATTTTTAAATTGATAATTTATATGGCCCATGAATGGTATTATAAATATCCAAATGGCCCTTGGCAGAAAAAAGGTTCCCCACCCTTGCCCTAGAATGTAAGTGTGAAGAGGGTAACAACTTTGTTGACGGCCAAATCTACTCTGTCTTTTCAGTACTTAACACATTGTGGGTGTTCACTATATTTTTCCCATTGACTTTCTAGAGAGAGATTGATGTGAGAGAGACATGTCAATTGGTTGCCTCCCACACATGGAACCTTTAATTCAGGTATGTGCCTTTGACCAGAAATCAAACCTGAGACTGTTCAGTTCAAAGGCTGGCGCTCAAATCACTGAGACACACCAGCCAGGGCCAGTAATTGTTAATGCATAAAAGAGAGAACAGCCATATTTGAAATTTCTATTCAGTTCATCTCTAAATACTTATATAAGCTTATACTTAAAAGAGGAATTCTGCAAGGCTTGGAGCACAATTTAAATTAGACACACGGGCACATTTACAAACCTGCAGGTCCTGTGAACTAGTGTTTATCAAACTGAGGGTTGCAAACTATTAGTAGGTCCAGAAACCTACTCAGCTGCTATGAGCAGCACTTTTGTATGCTAACAATTGAGATTTGCATGCATATAATTTAAAGTAAAAAATCTCAAGTTTAGGGAGGAACCAAGATGGCGGCATAGGTAATCACCTGTGCTTGCTGCCTCGCACAACCACATCAAAACTACAACTAAAAGACAGAACGGTTATCATCCAGAGGGAGAGAGAGAAACATCTATGTGAGAGAGACACATTGACCAGCTGCCTCTTCCGTGGGGGCGTGGATTGAACCTGCAACCCAGGTATGTGCCCTTGACCGGGAATTGAATCTATGACCCTTTGGTCCAAGGGCTGACACTCTAACTACTGAGCAACCAGCCAGGGCTTCTTTACTTGTTCTTGATTTCCCATATACCCTATTTTCTTTTGTGAATTATTTTCTTGTTCTTGATTTTTGAGAGTTTTTTTGTATGTTCTTGATACATGTTCTTTGTCACCCATGTGTTTGCAAAGATTTTTATCCCTCTGTGCAATTTGTACTTTTAACTATTTTTCACAGATGGAGTTAAAAAATTTTTTTATAGCCGAAACCGGTTTGGCTCAGTGGATAGAGCGTCGGCCTGCGGACTGAGAGGTCCCAGGTTCGATTCCGGTCAAGGGCGTGTACCTGGGTTGCGGGCATATCCCCAGTAGGAGATGTGCAGGAGGCAGCTGATCGATGTTTCTTTCTCATCGATGTTTCTGACTCTCTATCTCTCTCCCTTCCTCTCTGTAAAAAATCAATAGAATATATTAAAAAAATAAATAAATAAAATTTTTTTATAAAGTTTAATTTTTTTTCTTCCATGGGTTGCACTTTTGGTTTCAGATATAAGAACCCTGCCTAATCCAAGTTTACAAAGATTTTTTTTTCTCCTTTTAAAAAAATTAAATTCATTGGGGTGGCATTGGTTAATAACACAGAAGTTTATCTCCTTTTTTAAATCTGAACATTTAATGATTTCAGCCCGGCCTGGTTTGTCTCAGTTGGCTGAGTGTCATCCAGTGCAGTTAGAGGCCACTGGTTCTGTTCCCAGTCAGGGCACATGCCCAGGTTGTACGTTTGGTCCCTGGTTGTTTGGTCCCCAGTCGGGGTGCATGCCAGAGACAACTGACCAATGCTTCTCTCTCACATTGATGTTTCTCTCTCTCTCTCTCCCTCTCCCTTCCTCTTTTAAGGGAAAAATAAATAATTTTTTAAAAAATAAAAATTTTATGGTTTCAGGTTTTACATTTCAGGCTATGATCCATGTGAATTCATCTTTACAAAGTGTGAGGTCAGAGTCCAGGATCCCCTTTTTTGCATATGAACATAAAAGTAAGCCTCCTTTTAACACCGAATTGCTGTTGCACCTTGGTGAAAAATCCATTGACCGTACATGTGTGGGTCTTTCTGGCCTCTGGTTCCATTCGTCTATCTGTCTATCATTTTGCCATATGTAGTTTAATACAATGTCTTAAAACCAGAGAGTATGAGTCTGCCAACTACATTTTTTTCAAAATTATTGGGGCTAGTCTTATTTGTTCGCTTTTCAGTAGTATTTAGAATTGGCTTCTTGATTTTTAAAAATAAACCCTCCCTTGGGATTATATTGGGATTGAACTGAATTTGACATCTTAGCGTTATTGAATTTTCTAAATCATAGACACACTGTATCTGCCTGGTTGATTAGGACTCCTTTAAGTTCTTTCATCAGTAACTTGTCGTTTTCAGCATATAGATCCCACACATATTTTATTAGATTTATACTTAAGTTCTCCATGTTTTCTGGTGTCAAATTAAACAGTACTTACTTTTCAAATTTTAATTTCCAATTGTTCATTAGTAGTATATAGAAATACAGTGGGCTGTTTTATGTTGACCTTGTATCCTACATTCTTGCCAAACTTGCATATTAGTTAAAGTAACGGTTGTGTAGATTCCTTGGGTCTTTCTGTATAGACAATTATGTCATCTATAAGAAGTTTTATTTTTTTCCCCTGCTAATTGATACACATATCCACTGTGGTGTGAAGACCTCGCCCCTCTCTAGCCCCCAAGGCTAGATTTGGTGGGATCACAGGTGGGAGGGGATGGCTGTCCAGAAGAAGGTCCAGGACAGAGAGAGCGGTCAGTGTGCAGGCATTTTATAGAGAAGTTCAACAAGGGTGATGGGAGGGGACAAGCACTTATCAGGTGGTGGGTGAACCTTCTGAGGGTTGTGAAGGGGAGGCAGTGGACACAGGCCGGATGATGCTTACAGGTTGCTGGCATTAAATCAAACACCCAAGTTTCTTTCCTGTGGCCTTCACCTCTGACATTTAGGCTAGCATGGAAACCTCCAGGTTTGTTTGTTTTTTAATATATTTTTATTGATTTCAGAGAGGAAGGGTGAGGGACAGGGAGATAGAAACATCAGTGATGAGAGAGAATCATTGATTGGCTGCCTCCTGCATGCACTGGGGATTGAACCCTCAACCTGGACATGTGCCCCTACCATGAGCTTCTGGTTCATAGGTCAACGCTCAGCCACTGAGCTATACTGGCCATGCATCCGGGTTTTCTTATAAATAAACTTGTATTTGAAAGAGACCACATTTGCAAAGCAATTATGATAGCTTCCTGAAAGGTAATGTGGGGCCAGATAATGTTAATTCAGCCATCAGAAGGAGCCAGAAGAAATCAGTGGGATTCAGAATGTCTCTTGGAATATCTTAGTAATTAAATAAAATCATAGACTATTGTTTTATTTTTCTGGAGTATTTTACTGTATTATTGGCCCACCTGCAGACAGAGGTTCCCTTCAAGGGACCACCTTGCAATGTCAGTAGCCTAATACAATATGTGTCTCTCTCACATCAATGTTTCTCTCTCTGTGTCTCTCCCCCTCCCTTCCACTCTCTAAAAATCAATGGAATAATATCGTCGGGTGAGGATTAACAACAACAGCAAAAATGGTCATAATTCCTTAATACCTTCTTTAATGGGACTTTGTGGGTGTTCATAAATTTAATAGCAAATGGCAGATTCCTTGAGGTCTATTTTGTTATGGGTTCACTCAGCGAAATAGACCACTGACTCAGAATTTAAATTTAAATTTAAGAGCCTTTATTAAACTGGCCAGCTGACTACAACACATCCCTCCTCACGTAGGGAGCCTCGTACTGCAGCAGCGACGGAGGGTACAGCAAAGCTTTTTATCTGCAAAAACTACAAAGCATTTAAAAAACAAACAAAAAAACTGCAAAGTGGTTCATTAGCCGCTCCTGGTACTGGCAAGGTAAAAAGTTCATATAAAGTGCACAAGCACCAATGGGGGAAAATCAGGGTCACACCTGGCTGGGTCTAATCATAACACATTGTTTTTCTAAGATAAGTAGTAATTTTTCTCTGCCATGGTCCTTGCCCCTCAGCCCACTCAGTAATTCTTCTCTGCCAGGTCCCAGCCCCTAGCACAGTTTAACATGGCCAATTGTAAGGGCATTGGATTTGAGCTTTTTAACTGTTTACTCCCAACACTGCTGACACCAAATGTGTGTGTGTGGAGCAGGGAGGGGGTTCTCACACCACTTCGCCAGCTCTCCAACACGGCCAGAATGTCCAGTGATTCAGTTCAGTTCTGAGGCTAACTACCCAGAGTTAGCCTGAGACCCTGCAGATTAAGGGCTCAGCCCCACAAGACTGCCTCCACTTTAGACTCCAATCACAAGTCCTGGGCCTGCTATAATTCTGACAGACCAGCTACAAATTAGAAGTTCCCACAGTCCATTTCTTGGGTTCAATAATTTGCCAGAACAACTCACGGAACTCAGGAAAACAGTTTACTTAATATTACAGGACACTATACAGGCTACAACTCAGGAACATTCAAATGAGATGGATTCATAAAGCAGGGTATGAGTGTAGGGCTTGGTGCTTCCATGCCCGCTGAATGTGCCACCTTCCCAGCACTTAGATGTGTCCCCCAACCTGGAGGCTCGCAACCCCATCCTTTAGAGGTTTATGGAAGTTTCATTAAGGAGGCATGCTGGATGAAGTCATTGACCATGAGTGACTGAACTCAAGCTGAAACCCCTCTCCCCTCCCTGGAAATCGGGGTGTGGGACTGAAAGTTCCAACTTTCTAATCGTGCCTTGGTCTTTCTGACAACCAGCCCCTGTCCCGAAGCTATCGAGGGGCCCATCAACCATTGCTTCATTGGAACAAAAGAGGCTCCTATCACACATGAAATTCCACGGGGTTTAGGAG